AGTTAGTTAGTTAGTTAGTTAGTTAGTTAGTTAGTTAGTTAGCTAGCTAGTTAGTTAGTTGGTTAACTAGCTAGCTAATTAGCTAGCTAACTAACTAGCTAGGTAGGTAAGTAGGTAGGTAGGTAGGTAGGTAGTCGGCAGATTATCCTCATTGCACGTCAAACCACTCAGTCCATACATGCTCAGATCCCCTCCTTAGTAAATCCCGCAGCGTGTAGCGGCTTACGACACTCTAGTTCTGTGTTGATTTATTATTATTCTTTGGCTACTCGCGTAGTGCTCTTGTTTTGCGAAAAACACGCTGACATGCGCACATTATAACCACGCTAGGACTTAACTGTTTGTAATCACTTCTGCTATCAAACCACGGCACTTTTTGGACTCACAAAACCCAACAGTTATGGCCCCCCCCCCACCCCCCCCCCCCCCCCCCCCCCCCACCCACAGCTTTTGATACAACCCCAAGCACATTGCTAGGCCAATATTATTTTATTTCAACCAATACAGAAATGCCTAATAATAAAACACAGATCGAAAACGACGAGAAGGGGAGATAAACCTGTGTATGTTGTATGTTGGCAGAATAATAATATTCAGCCTATTCAGATGCTATAACTTAGCAGAGAACAACTTAACTTTGCGTGAGTGTGTACACTCCACGTGCATGCAACATGATAACAACGGGCAGTGTTGTTGTTGTTTTTCAATAGAGAAACACACGCCAGAACTTAACACAGTCTATTACAAAAGCCTTGAATAAAAAAAAAAAAAAACATATGTCTTCAAAAAGGTTTCGGTACTTAATATCGTGGAATAATACTAGAATAAAGCAATGAAGATGATCAATTATTAGTAAAGATCTTCGCAAATCCCCCATTGTGGCTGTTGTTGTAACCAGCTAGCTTGTCAGACTGCTAGCTAGTTAGATAGGTTTGTTTAGTATATATATATATATATATATATATATATATATATATATATATATATATATATATATTGCTTAATTAGTTAGCTAGCTGGTAAATTGTTCTGGCTACTTATCTGCTTAGCTAGCTAGTCTGTGGGCAAATAAGTTGGTTGGTCACTTGGTTGGTTAGTGTGTTGGTTAGTTCATTAGTTAGTTGCCTAGTCAAATAATTAGTTAGTTAGCCAGTTGGTTGGTTAGTCAGCCAGCCAGTTAGTCAGTCAGTTAAAAAGTTAGTTAGTTAGTTAGTTAGTTAGTCAGTTAGCTAGTCAGTCAGTCAGTCAGTCGCTCAGTTAGTTAGTTAGTTAGTTAGTTAGTTAGTTAGTTAGTTAGTTAGTTAGTTAGTTAGTTAGTTAGTTAGTTAGTTAGTTAGTTAGTTAGTTAGTTAGTTAGTTAGTTAGTTAGTTAGTTAGTCAGTTAGTTTGCCATCTTCTACTCTTGTCTTACCTTCACTCCTTCTGCCTTCTATCCTCCAAGTCGTTCTATCCTTTCTATTGCATGCAACTCACTCTATGCGCCTTGACTTACCTCTCTAGCTCTCTTCTCCAACTTTTTTCTCTTTACCATTTTTTCTATGCATCTGTGGGTTCTACTGCAAAGACATTCTAGTTATACTGTGTATAACCGTGGATCCCATCCAACGCCGGTGTCTTTTCTTCACCTCTCGGTCCACCAGAACTTGTTCAGTTATCTCCAAAAACTCAACATTAGACCTTTACCTCTATACCAGGTGATGTATCGTTTGTCACATCTTCAAACATCCGTATAAGAAGGCAGGAGCAAAGTTCTTTGGACATATTTTTTTAAGTAAAAGTCAAACATTGTAAGCATCAGCCAGGTCCAAGCTGGGAAAAGAGACAAGAAAAAGAGAGAAAGTATTACGAATTTCAATTCCTGTTTTTTCATTACAAGGTCTCTCCTTCCAAACAGAAACATCTCCTCCTCATCTCTTCTCAACATCATTCCTGTAGGTACTCTACCTATTAAATCTTCATTTATTTCATTTACATGAAATTGCTTTCGTATTTGTGCAGATAGTATTCAAAATTAACTAACTGACCCTTTTCCACACCTTTAGGCGTGGTTAGTTTCAAAACTTGTTTGTGGCGCGGTGATTTCGGTCACAGGCATGAGGCAAAGTTAAGTCTGATGTGAGGTGTATAAGGAGATACTCCGTACCCCACTCGGGCGCCAGTCCTTCACTGTTCTGGTTTTACGGAACCTCATGCAAGACTCCTGTTGCACGTCCCCGTCGTGCGCCACGGATAATGTCTCAAATGAGCATTAACAGAGTTGGCAGGGGATCTCGGAGCTGGCGGCCCCCAGAGGTGTAGTGTCCTTTCTGGCTCTCACCAGCCCGCCCCCAAACGCATGGGTGAAAAGTCTAACAAAACTCAAAATTGCTTGCTAAATGTACCATCAAATGACAACTCTTGGTTAAAATTCGGGAGGGAATTTAAAACTGTGCTGCTGAGACTCAACCCAGACCGAGAGATTTACCCGCAGCCAAGACGAGTAACATCTCTTGTGGGCGACTTCTCGCAGCAAGATCCTACCTACGTACATCCTCTGTCAATCCTCAGTGTCCTCGTCACCGCGCTGAGGTACACCACGGCAGCAACTTTTCATATGCTGGTTTGGAAATAATGTCCGACAAAGTTATACCCCAAGACACACATGCAAGCTCAGAGTCCGACGATCATAATTCGTACCGATCAGGAAAAAGTCCGAATGTCCGTATCCACTGGTCCAACTCGCCCGAGTGTTGGGACCAAACAGGTGAAGCCACGCCTGACGCATTTTGTCTCCCAATTTTGTCGTGCTAAGGGCACCGCTGAAACAACGTTAAAGGTGTCTAATGTAAGATGAAAAAGAATGTACCTATTTGTGTGGCCACAAACGTCCTAGACCTGCTGGCTGCTCCCCGCTGATCTCCGAAGAGTGCAGCCTTGTAGCGCGGGAAGCTCAATACACGGTTGTGAGGTTAAGCAGTCATGGGCAGGACGTGGCGATTCCTTGGGTGAGCCCAGAACCAGAGCATCATGTGTCGGCTCTGCATTTATGGAAGCCTCCTTGGATGGCGGGGAATGCCTATAATCTGCCCCTGCCTTTCCTTGAGGGCTGAAAACTCTACATAGAGCTGCCTTAAGGACGACATGCGGGGGCCACACCTGTTAAAAGTCAAAGAGGACACCACACAAATGAGGCAACATCTCGACCCACACAAAACAATGGCCACAGTCAACCTAGAAATAGGCTTGACGTCTTCCTCCGAAGTCGGAGTACATCTGCCGGAGAGGCGGGGAACGAGTACTGCAAACAAATAAGCCAGTAAAACGGATGTACACGCAAAACTCAGGTCAAGGTAAAAGCCAAAAGTCCATTTTGGACGAACAACCGCGACTTACCGCCGGAATTCACAGCCTGTGAACAAGAAGAAGAAGAAGAAGAAGAAAACGTGTTTAATTTTTTTAAAATTAAAAACCATCAATATATAATAGACAAATAACGAAATAGGAAAGGAATAATTATTCAACCTTTACTTCTTATGTGAAAATTCGATTGGTATACGTCCTGATTGGTGTACTGGTCCAAGAATCTTGAACGGACTGAGGACGTATACCAAGGTAAGTAAAAGTAAAGGAACCTTTTTCACGCCTTCAGGCGTATTGGGCATAAAGGGCTAGACCTATTTTATGTAGATCAGTCAGCACTTGATGGGTGATGTAGTCAGCATTGCACCGACCGCCTTGACTTCCCAGGACATAATCTGGTACCCACGCAAAACTGGGTGGGAGCCAAGGTCACTTTTGAAAAAAGTCCGACTTAGTCAGAACCCGAACCCACGACCTTCTGACCCGCAGGCGAGCGTCTAGTAGGTATACCGAGGTTAAGTTAGTTACGAATCCTTTACATGACGTAGCAGAAACATTTTGTTGTTGCGGTTTCTCAAGAGAAAGATAATGAGAAAAAATCAGGCAAATATTAATGTGGTTGGTGTCACACTCTAAGAACTATTTGGGCAGTAATGTAGGTAAAGAATGGGGAAACTGCTAGAGATATTAAAATACGAATATAATAGGCAAGAAGAGCTTTCACAGCACTAGGGAATTTGTGGAGGTCAAAGAAATTAAAAGATCTGCTGGATGAAGCGGAAATATGGAAAACAAGTAAGGTGATAGCGAAAGATAGAACGACTTGGCGGGAGTTGGCTGAGGGACTAAGCTTTACTGGGGGGTTAGAAAGGCAGAAATGAGAAGAAAAGAGTTTGTCATTGGACTTCCGGTTTAGAAATGGCAGCGTGAAGACGTGTTTGCGGCGACACACGATTTTGTAACCGCGTAGGTGCCACGCTCCCATTATAAACATGGGAGTCCACGGGTAAGACCCCAGTCTACTCTAGCAAAACAAGGTGCTGAAGTCGGAGGCAACCAGCCAGGAGGCGCACCACAGCAATCAGGATGCCACGCACAAACGCAACAGGGAATATTTCTATATCTGCAAATAAGTTTGATTTCCACCATGTGACCCACTCACGTACACGTGGTTCGATTTACCGGCCTAAGATTGGCCAATCAGCCATGTGTACTTGTGGACTGGCACCTGAAACAACAGATCACATCCTTCAAGACTGTCCCAGATTCAACGCTTTCAGGCAAAACCTTTGGCCAAAAGAGACACTTGTGGAAGTCAAACTTTACGGGCCTCTTAGTGAATTACAAAAGACAGTGAAATTCATACTAGAGACAGCTTTGCAGATATAGACAATTTATTTCATGCGAACGAAAGAAGAAGAAGAAGAAGTTTGTCATTGCTTTCTGTACTGTCTTTACACGATACTTAGCTACCAATATTTATATAAAAATTTTGTACATGGAATTCTAAATATGATTTTTAGTCGTAGTATTGTTTAGCTCCCTTTGTGGCGTCACTTCCGCTTCCTTTCGGCTGTGGATGTACATCTGCTGAAGCAACCAACGAGGAGAAGTTGGAGACGTTTTGTTTTTGTGCCTTCTGATTGTTTCACCAACACACAATGAGGGTGGAGAAGTGTTTCGTTTGTTCGGCACCCATATATCCAGGCCATGGGATGGCCTTTGTTAGGAATGATAGCAGGGTATGGTCAGTTTTACTTTATAAAAATTTAATAACATTAAAGTAACGTGTTTTTTCTTTAGAAGTAAAAAGTAAAATTAATTTAAATAAATTTAAGGCGAATTTTATTATAATTTATTGTTTTGTTTTTAGAATTTAGAAGTTATTAATAGTGAGTTTATGTTCGAAGTCTCTTTGGCATCGAGATATAAATCAAAATCAAGAATCGTTGCAATTATTCAATTTTCTAAATATTTTATTTTTAATACTAACATACTTACTTTACTTAGTCGCTCCTCTTCTACCTTGGGGTGTAGAGGTTTGCCAGAGAGATCGCCAGACGTCTCTATCAGCAGTTTTCTTTCTGGCTTTGTTCCATTCCAGTCCTCTGTCAGTCAGGGACTGTCGGATGTTGTCTTCCCAGCGCACCCTAGGTCGCCCTGGAGGTCTGGTTCCCTGGTTCTTAGCCTCCCGTGCCTGCCATGGTGGCCGATTTTCTCCCATTCTGCACACACGTCCAAACCATCGTAACTGTGACTGATCTACTCGGGTTAGTAAGGGCTGGGTATCAAGATCTTGACGTATTGTCTGATTGCGGACCTTGTCCCTTCTTGTCACTTGGACCACCTTTCTCAGGTATCTCATTTCCGAGGCCTGCAGCTGGCTTCTGTGAGCTGTTGTCATTGCCCATGACTCACACCCATAGGTCAGGACTGGTACATAGGTAGAGCGGTAGACAGCCATTTTCGTCCTTTTGCCAATTTCTCTTTTGCTAAGAAACCCTCGGTTTATGGCCTGGAAGAGTCTCCCAGCAGCTGCTTTTCGTGTAGCCAGCTCAGTCTTAATGCCTCCATTTTGGTCTAATACAACTCCAAGGTATTTGAACTGGTTAACCTGCTCCAACGCATACTGTCCCATCATGATCTGGTGTTTCTTCTCCTCTCTTGAGATCACCATGGTTTTAGTTTTGGAGACACTGATGGTCATCCCTTTCTTTTCAAGCTCTTCCTTCCAGATAAGTTGGACTGAAGGTGTGCCTCTGATTTAGCTATCAGGGCCACATCGTCTGCAAATAATACTAACATAACATTATGTATTAGTATTAATGCTCTCCTATTAAACCCCCAAAATGGCGGCATGCCACATTCTGGCCATAAAATATCCGAACGACGGTGTTCGCGTATATCTAAAATACGGACTTTTTGCCAAGGAACAAATTGCGACAAAACTAGGATTACTTGACAATATGAACATTGCACACGGTAGTAGTAGCAGACGATAAAGACTGACAGTTTCTGCAGACGGTAGTAGCAGCAGACGATAATTTTGAGCGTGCCGTTTCTTCAGGCGATACTAGCAGACGCTACGCTCGGCGCGGATGGGGACTAAAATAGGTGCCAGGGACTCACAAGTACAGTAATTGGAGGAAGTTGCAGGAGATACTTTGGAGTGGCTGCTGATTCAGAAAACTGAGCACGCATGGGTATGCCCAATGTGCAGTGACATTAATTGTGATAACAAAACATAAAATAACATCTTAGTAGGGAGTCTGCAGTACGAAACCCAAGTTCAAGGTGTCTCCTTCGTGCCAAAGAACTGCATGACTGTTGGGTTAAGAGTCGTTAACGATGGCAGGCAGGTCATTATATGGGCGATGCCTGCTGGTGGATGTAACGTCCCAAGTCCCTTCCCCAGCTAATAATGAGGGTATTGCTGGGGTGACCGTTTATTAACCCTCATATAATTCTTCCGGTCAAAATGGACGCTAGGCACGGCCACATTTTTTAAAGCCGTGGCAAATGTTGTTTTTTTGTGTGGCCAGACGGTGGCCGTTGCATTTTTGTTCCATTTGTAGACTAGAAGGATGTAGTTTCGTCGCCCAGCTTCTGAGTTGAGTGCATGGCGTGACGCGGTGAGCTGCGTTTGTTTTTCGTTGGCACAGGAGCGGAGCATCTGTGGGGTGACCCGTTTGCTATGAAGCTGAAACTAGGATTACCAGATGCGGTAGCTGCCGCTCGTGAGCCCAGCCATCTAGTTTAGTCCCATCCGCGCCGCGCGGGTGATGCGCTTGGTGGTGAGGCACACTCACAAAAGCAAGTCGGCAAGTAACATATCACCGAGACCCTGTCAGAGCATTTGTTTCGTTATCCGGAACTGACCCGCTTTTGGATATTTTATGGCAAGAATTTAGCAAAATTAGCTCTCTTTTGAACGCCATTATATTAAAGCCGCCATTTCGGGGGTTGATTCAAAGGAGAGCCTATTATGAATGTGACAGTGAATAACAAAGACTGCGAAATTTCAGTTACCAGTTTTAATAAAAGGAATGAATGTTTCTGTACGCAGTAATTAAAAGTTTATTTATTTTTTTTAAAATTGGTAATGAAATCAGTTTTTTTTTTTACTCACTATATCATATATGGTACCATTACATTGCAGATTTCCAGCGTCTTAAATTGTGAACTTTCGGCGACTACCGCCACCACCGAAAGTACCTGCGCGCGGCGTGGAGCAGGGCTAAACTAGTTAGTTGGCTGGGACTCAACGAGCAGCAGCTACCGCATCTCCTGCAGCTTCCTAAGTTCCCTTCACTTTTTTGCTCGTGAATCCCAGCCATCTAGTTTAACTCAGCGCCGCCCATAGCTGGGTAGGATATACTCTTGGCGGTGGCAATAGTCGCAGCAGGGAGTCCGCAATTTACATGTGACTGATGCCCTGTTAGAGTATATTTTCGGCCTTGATAATTTGGGACCGTTATTCAGAGGATAACCAATATATGATATATCACAATATTTACCATAAGGATGTGAGTCCTGGACAATCGGTAGGCAGGTAAAACAATTTATTGAGGCATCAGAAATGTGGTTTTACAAAAGAATGCTTAAACACGGAGGAATAATTTGCGATTCAGTGCACGCTGGCTGCCACTTGCTATTATCATGTCGTGAAGATGTAGACGTGTGACCACTGGAAAGAACTTTGGAAGTAGGGGCAGAGGAAGATGAGAGAAGATTCTTTAGTCTTTTTTTTTGCATGGCATGGATGTGTGTCAGCACACAAACTGTTAAATGTTGCAGGAGATTGTGAATTGTGGGGAGGCTTTATTGTTCACGTCATGATGATATTACTATATAAAACAAAATTGACTTCGCTGAATTTACTTAGTTGATTTTATTAAATCTAAAATATTGGTACCAAAAAATAATACTCTGGCAGGCTAGTAAAATTTTCTTTAAAGCCAAAACTACATATTATTTGTAATCCTCTTAAAGCATCGATTTGATTTACATTATGTGTTTATATGCATTTTCAGATGTTCAGGTTCTGTCGGTCAAAATGTCACAAGTTTTTCCAGAAGAAACGCAATCCCAGGAAGGCTAAATGGACTAAAGCATTTAGGAAAGCTGCAGGAAAGGAGTTGAGAGTGGACCCTGCTCTGGAGTTTGAGAAAAATCGAAATGAACCAGTCAAATATAGCAAAGAGCTATGGGACAACACCGGTGAGTTTTTTTCAATGTTGATATAAAGATTTACCCCTCTGGTTTCAGACTTAATCTGTGCTTGTTTTTCTTCTTGTTCACTGACTGTAAACTCAAAGCGGAAAGTTTCTGTTTGTTCATCCACTCCTGTAGTCCTTGTTCAGAACCTGAGTGTTGCACATGCATCCGTTTTCCAGGTCTAACTTATTTTTTTTGCAGATGGCTATTGGTTTCTCGCATCTCAGGCAGATGCACTCTAGTTTCGATAGATACTCCCAGTTATTCGACTCTTACACCAAGCTTTTAGGTAGACAGTGGGTCTATTCTTGTTTTCCCGATAATCGGGTCCCTGAACCCACACAGGAAAAACTGTTTCAATTGTCTTAATAGCCCCATTATCTCTGCCTTGAGTGTTGGAGGTCCATGGTTCAAGCCCTGGTGAAGGCTGAGATTTTCACATGTGGAGTATTGTTGCTCATGTAAACAATCCCTTGGCAGTTGAAAAGCGAAAAGAGTAGCCTAACTGTGTACCTGGGCAAAATTTGGAATTAAACATCTACCCAAAGTATTTCAGGATCATCGCTGGTGCAACAGAGTGCATGCACTGCGCTGAGATTCTTTAGACTCAGAGCTAGAAGTAGAGCGGAGCACGTATGGGTTACAACTCTTGTACCAAGATGTTGATCCCTCAACTAAACATAAACACTCCCTTTGAACCAAAAAAACATGATTATGTAAACATAGCTGTATCTGATTAAGATTTCATCATAAGTTTATTATGATGCAACACTGAAGTAACAAAATAACACATTTTTACTTAATTGTTGATACCAATTATTGTACCCACCATGTTTGCACTTCAGCTACAACCAGTCCTATAGCTGTTATGCAGGCATAGTGAACACTGCCCAGAGACAACATGTCATTGAAAATAATTAATTAATAAAACAAAACCAAGTTAGTTCTCAGTATCTACAGGACGATAGGGTTATAAAGTTCCAGGTTAAACAAAAAGAGACAAATCTTCTATTCTCTTATTTTAAGTCACTTTCTCAATGATGAAATGCATGCTATATGATTGAGGATTAAAGGTTCTGCTTTGTCTTTCTTGCAGTGAAAGCAATCAAGAAGATAGAGGAAATTAGGACCAGGAGACAGGACCATTACATCGCCAGCAGGTAACTGTTTATTACTCACTCTGGTGAAATGGGGGCAGGGGGGTTACGACAGGGCTGCAGATGATGATGTCCACTAAAACAGTTGGTTCACAGTTGGTGGTCCACTGATGAAAGGGGGGGGGCATGGAGAAAAATGTTTTCTTCTTACCATTCACTGTCCTGTTTGTTCATCCATTTGGACTTCTACCAGGACAGGAGTTTTGCGTGTACATCCATTTTACTGACCAGTTTATGCAAAGATCTTGTTCCCTGCCTCTCGGGAAGATAAACCCTGACTTCGGGTTAACAAAAAAATTGACTTTAGGACTTGGTAACCACGGAAACGGAGCAAGAGGAAGGCAAAGAGATAAATACCCGGATGGGAGTCGAGACAAAAACATTGACCTGATTCTTGATACTGGGGATCACGTGTGGCATAACCATTGGCTGTCAATACTATTGCCCCCAAATCATCGACAGCTGGCATAGTTAGTGATATTTTAAAATTACAAACCATTCATAGACGCTGATGACCTGAAATTAGTTGATCAGGAATCACAGCTGACTTAGTTAGTGAGGAAAAAATGGTGGAGAAACGGATTGATGTAAACACATGTAAGAAGATCACTACCGTAACCTTTGTTTTACCAATATGCTTAGGTAATAGAAGTCATAATCATATCGAATGTTTCACTAGAAGGGTGTGAAATATTTCAGTCACCAAGCATCCAACTGTGAGTTCTGGTACCCTTGTTGTAGTGAAAAACCTACTGCCATTGCCGTCTTAACGTATGAGCCTGTTAGGCACTTGCACGTTTGCCCCCTGAGCATATGAATCCTATCCTCATCTGTGTATGTTAAGTGACTTGAAATACACACAGATGCCATTCCTCATTGGCGTAGGAGTCGCAGCACATTTGTTCCCAGGGGCCCATAATGCTGATAAGAGCAGCTTTGCTCCCAATCAGGCGTGACGTAGAAGTCTGACTAATTGGCAAGAAACCCAAAAATAAAGCCAGATCTGTGAAATTGAGTGCACGCAACACTCAGACTCTAGAACAAAAGTAAAGTCCGGCGGTGAATGAACACCAAGAACTTTCCGCCAGAGATTAGAGCCAGTGAATGCAAAGAAGCAGAAGAGCTGAGCATTTGGGTTACTTCTATGATGTTAAGCACGCATTTCAGATACATGCAAGTCTTACACAAGTACCAGATAAAGTCCTGGGAAGTAAAGGCGTGATGCTGACCACATCACCTACTGAGTGCCCATGGATCTGTAAAATTAAAGTCTTGCCATATAGGCTGAAAATGTTGTAAGACATGGGAAAGGATCCTTTACTTAACAAGCTGTGGCAGGCAGCGCTGAATTGCTACAGAATCCACCGCTTGTAGGTTATCTTACCACAGTCGACTTCTTTGCACATTGGGCATCCCCATGCGTGCTCAGTCCTCTGATGCAGCAGCCACTCCAAAGTACCTCTACTGATTGTTGACCATGTGTAGTTGGTTATAGTGTCTCCTGTCTTTACAGGATGGCAAAGAGGTACCATTACTTGTATGAATTTAGTAGTGGCTGTTCCTAAAGCATTACCCCCTCTTACCCTCAGATAGCCATTCTCCTTACTTTTACTGGGTTTTAATATGCTGAAACCCTCATTTTGTTTGTTTGACGGATCAACATCACGGTACAATGGTAGTTACTCATAAGTGCTCTGTTCTAACTCAAGCCTTAGTCTGAAGAATCTCAGTGCAGTGCACAAACTTCGTTGCACCGGCGAGGATCCTGAAATACTTCGAGTAGATTTTGCTCAGGCTACTCTTTATTGATTTCCAACTGCCATGTTTTTTTTTGCACAAAAATACACACTGACATCCTGTCCTGTTTTACTACCCAGAGACCAGGGAAATTTACTAGAAGTCCACATGAAAAAAATCACTGCCTTGACTGGGGTTTGATCCCGGGACCTCTAGTACTCAAGGTGAATGCTATACCTCGAGACCACTCAGCCCCCTGCTGAAACCCTCACATAGATAAAATGTTACAGCAGGTGGTGAATACTACTCGAGACTCGGGGGAAAGACAGGATGGGTAGTTAAGCAAATGGATGACAACAGGTATCATCATTAATAAGACTCTTTGCTGGCTGTCGAGAAAGACAGCTGGTATGGGCTTGTCCTGAACTCTATGATGCAAATATAAGTTAACGGTGAGAGGATCAGCTACATTGCACCAGGTTTTATCCTTTATGGCTCTGTCTCTCTCAGCAAAACAGCTAGCTGCCTGTCGAGAGCGGCGCACAGATCATGACCTTCCCAGCTCCAGCGAAAATCTGGAGGGATCTCCATAAAAACTGCACGCGTAAACCGAACTCACTAGCGACAAATCTGCGAGATGAGCGGTTTGACCACTTCACCAGAGATATTTACCTGTATACTAGGTTTAAATGGCGTGAAGTCTTCGGGCAGGGGCCACTACACCTGTATAATAGCTTGGTTACTGACTAAAACTGCAAAGTATGCAGGACTATTTATACCAAAATAAAAATAAAAAAATTTTTGGGTGGGGGGGGGGGGGTATTTTTTAAGGGTGGAAAAAAAATTGTAGCATAATAACCACATAATGATGTTTCTTTGCTCCACATGGCTGTCTCAACATAACATAAGGACTTGTAATTGACCATGTTGTTTTGTCTTAACATAATACAGGGACTTTAATTTACCATGTTGTCTGCCTGTGCAGGTTAAAGAAAGGCAAGGAGATCCGCAAGTTGGCCGATACAGTGGAAGTGGAGAAGAGTATTCATCTTATCAGGCCCCCAGCAGGTACGCCTACTTTTTCCCCCCATATTCTTCTTTGTCCCACTGATTATAGATATTAAATAATTATATTTTTTTGGCACTGTTTTTGGGTAGGTTCAAATCTCAAAGAGTTCAGATAGTCACCAAAGAAAATGTTCTGATAGTTAACTAATGGATATTTTTAAGATTGTTAGTTTTGTGATCTGGCAGCTGTTCCTTTTCCTTTGGAGTAAACAAGGCAGGCCGAGAAAGGGATCATGCTGCAGGGGTGTCACCTGGTCTTTACAATACTGCCCAGGTTGTGTACTGTGGAGAGAAGGATTATCTTTATAATAAACAGACAAGGTATTGGTTGGCAATCATAGAGAAGTATAAAGATAGAAGGACATGGGCGTGTTTATTTATAGAGAGAAGGGGCCTTGTCCCTGGTCTTAATTGGCCTCAGAAACAAATCAATCAGCAGCGGGAAATCACACTTGCAGGAGCTGTGATTTCCATGCCTCACCGTACAGTAGTATGATTAACAAACAATAGAAATGCTGAAGTCTAGCAGCTTTGTTGGAAAGCTTCAGATAAATAATATAATTGCTTGAAAATAATTCATATAAATAGATACAGGTCCCTGTTATGTACCTTATGGTATATTGGGTGTCTGGTTCCGACTACACATTTTTCTGTCAACTCATCATGTGTCGTGCTTGTAAGTGATCGAATAACCACACGATCACCAGGATCAGATCAGGGAACTTATTACAAACTTGCCCATATGACAAGAGTTCCTTCCCTTGCCATTCATTCCGCATGCCCCACAACATAAATGGCAATGGAAGGAACTCTCATCGTGCGGGCAGGTTTGTAATAATAGCCAGATCAGCCCAAGACATCTAGTTATATTTCTCTTTGCTTTCCTTTTGCTGTCTCCATCAGTAAATGATTCCTTATTTTTTTTTTTTTTACAGAGAATTAGTATTGTCTTTTTTAAACTAGGTAGGATATTCTAGGTTCTGTCTTATTGTGTAGTTATCTGTATTATTTGGTATTTTGCAGCTGCCCTCAAGCAGAAGAAGCAGATGGTCGAGGTGGTGATGGAACGAGATGTGGATTCAATGGATGTCAACTGAGTGCTGAATATTTGTCTGACAGAATCATCTCACTGCTCGCACACTGTTATGACCTTTTACTACAACAACATAGAAGTGCTTAGTTTAACCCTTTAAGCCCTGGACAGTTAGTTTATAAAACCCACCTTTTTTCAGGATCCTGAACGAATAAATGCATAAAATAGTGTACAAGAAGGAAATTAGTTAATATGTTGTCATTTATTAACCTAAAATTGGCACCGAATAGGACACATGTTGAGAAAAGTTCAGAACAGTATAGCTAGAATGTCTTTGCACTGGAACCCACAGGTGCACAGAAATTAAGGAAGACCAAGAAAAAACGGGGAGCTAGAGAGTAAAGTTAAAAAGATATGAAGTACATGGGTAGAGCTACATGCGATAGTGAAGGAAAGAACGCGTTAGTTGAGGGCCTATGCTCTATTTGTGGTTAGAAAGGCAGAAGTTATTTGTCTAATCATCTCTAGTGTTGTTAAACTCATTTTTTTTTAAAATCTGACCTACATAAATTCGGTATTAGGGAAATACCCGATGTTTACCCCCAGTTGAACACAGACAGACAGACCAAGAAGAAGAATAGGACTTGCTTTTTTGTGTAATGGGAATGACACATGCTACCACTCAAACTCATTGTCATTATAACATTGTTCAATAAATCCTAATGTAAATTTATTTATCATTTCGGTCTACAACTTTGGGGGGGAGGGATGGCGTTGGACCTAGTCTTGGTTTGGTACGAATACAGTCCTGGGAAGTAAAGGCGGATGACATGATGCTGGCCACATACCCCATTAAATGCTGTTTGACCTATAAAATATAGGTCTAGCCCTATATGCCCAATACGCCTGAATTGTTATCGAGCTCATTGAGTACAGTCAACAACTTGTTCTGTTGTTAAACTAAAGTCAGCAAAGCAGTGTAGTTTTTGTGTGGTTTTTCTTCATTGAATTCACTGGAAAGTTCTAATTGTTTGCCCACTTTTGTTCCAGAACCTGATTGTTGCATGCACATCTGTTATATAGATTAAGCTTATTTGTGTGCAGATTGTTGGTTCCTTACCTTTCAGGCAAACACACTGATTTCAAAGGAAATATTCCATAATTAGTAGACTTGTTTTGGGGGGGGGGCAGTGGGTTCTCACCCACACACAATTGGGCCGTATGGAGAGAAAGGAACCCGCACAAGGAGGTTCTCAGTTCAACGATTGCTGCTGGTGTCTAGTGCTTCGTGAACTGATTCACTTTTGTTTGTGCAGCGGCCCAACAAGTCCGAGGTTTTGAATTTGTGCACATAATTAAGAGGATACATGAAGTAGGCATGGGTTTCTCCCGCACGAACCGATACACTGGGCTCTAGGGGTTAGCTAAAAAGCTTTTGCATTTGGTATTCACAGTAATTTTCTAATCGTGTGTTTCCGTATCTTACTTTGATCTGTAAAAGATTATAGTATTCTGGCATTTTCTGATATACACATGTTTTACCGTTGCTTTATGTGTTTATACATGGGCATTCGTTATCGTTTTGACTGTTTTATATGTTACCATGCCCATTAACCCATACTCTTTCCTAGGTATCAAATATTTGTTGTGCGTACTACCCAAAAAAATTTGGGAGCTTCACAACTATTTAACATACACTTAATGTTTTTGTATTTTTGCGCCTTATTCAGATGAGATAACATTTTGAGGAAAAACTAATCCTATGTGACATCAGCATGACTTGGGGTAGGGGGGGGGGGGGGTAAATCCTGGATGAGAGCTTTAATTAATTGAAGTAAAAGTCTGCAAATTCAGGGCTTTTTGTACCAAGAATTACTGACACAGTATACTGAACAGTCCAGCTTTTTTTTTCTTTTCCAAAAACACCCAGTGAACACCAAGAATTTCATTGCGAAACAGACAAACCTAACAGTTGTTACCTGAAGCACAAACACGAAAGTCAACATGAACATAACATTTAGATGTAAACTAAAACATCAAGAAACAATCAGATACATCATGCAGAAGAGATGTGGGCAATCTTCATGTCTTGAAGATCCTGGTAAACATTTTTAAGACCTATTATAATGAATATTTCAGTGCTACTTTCCAGCTTCCCCAAAACTGTGTTAGACCATAGCAGTAACTATTTTAACTAGTTTAATGACTTTCTTAACAGATTTGTTGATGCTGTGGCACACTTTTTTCCTCCTCGATTCTTTTTCTGCAGAGAGAGTATAGTGAGACTTTTCTTTTACAAACACCCTGTATGTGACGTGTGAGTTCACTCTAACAGGTGTTATCATGTTACTTTATCAGTTACTTTTCTCAGATTATAACAAGAACAGGAAAAAAAAGAACACGAAATGTAATTGTACAAAAAAAATACAAAATAAATTTATTGAAATCTGGAAAGGGGGTAATCTGCACATTTAAATTTTAAAAAACACAACTCATCTTGAATAATTAAATATGTGGCACCCTAATGAAAAAGCATATTCAATACATATTTCCCTGAAATGTTTCCGAGCTGGTAACAGTAGCATCCACACAGTCACACAAACACAATGAAAGTGTCATTGGCCTTGACAGCTTTATGTCCTGCAATTCATCACTTTGAGAAGCATTTCCCAAACTGTCGATTGACAGGACCAAGATCATATCAGCATCATGTGCAATGCCAGTAGGCAGAGACATATTAGCCATCTCACACGATCACAAAAATCCTATTTGGATATTTATCTCCTTGCCTACACGACTTTCACCTGTTTTGTAACGTCACTCCATACTAATGTTTGTATTCATCTCAAAAACCCACATCTCTGCAGCGAGTAAATGTTTTGACGTCACATGATGTGCGCTATAACAAATTATGAGGCCTGCCATGATAGAACTAGGTCACTTCCTTTAATCAAAACATGATAGAACTAGGTCACTACCATTACTCAAAACATGATAGAACTAGGTCACTTCCTTTAATCAAAACATGATAGAACTAGGTCACTTCCTTTAATCAAAACATGATAGAACTAGGTCACTTCCTTTAATCAAAACATGATAGAACTAGGTCACTTCCTTTAATCAAAACATGATAGAACTAGGTCACTTCCTTTAATCAAAACATGATAGAACTAGGTCACTTCCTTTAATCAAAACATGATAGAACTAGGTCACTACCATTACTCAAAACATGATATAACTAGATCACTACCATTACTCAAGTCATACAAAAGAAGTTAAAACTAATACTAAAATGGCAATTTTAAATTCTAATGTCAAGTCAATACTGTTGTTTGAAGCGGAAAATGGATAACACCTAAGGCAAATTACTAACAAACATTCATTAACTGGTGCCTGTGTAGAATAGAGGAAATGAAATGGTAAGATCACTGGGAGAGAACTAAGCAAGTTCCAGTGGACCAACAGGTGAAGAAATGCTGGCATTAGATAGGATACACATTGAGAAAATCTGACAAAAATATAACTAGAATGTCTCTGAACTGGAATCCACAGAAGCATAGAAATGAAGGAAGACCAAAAACATCAGAAGAGGGTTCTTAAGAGAGCTTCAGTTGGTTGAGGGCTTTTGCTCCCTTGGGGGTTAGAAAGGCAGAAGAAGAATGACAGAACAAGGTCACTAACATTCAAGTCATACAAAAATGTACAACCTAAAAAAAAAATACAGAAGATTCAACAAAAGCAAATACATTGGAATGGCACCATAGTAACATTTCTGGCGTATTCACTTTAGCATCAACCGCCAAAAATTATCTTGAACAAATGCATTTTTGTTCGCATGAACACAATAGATATATATACACTGCTTAGATTAATACTTCCAGAAATAAATTAGTATATTAAGGCACTTTCAGAATATGGCAGATACGTGACAAGCACAACTCAGATTTTAGACTAGAGCAGGGCTCAGTCAACTAAGTTTACTCGGGGACCAACATCTGGAAAATGTGGATCGTCAGAGCCCCAGCGTAGAAAGATGATTATTATTACAATTGGCAATGATCCACATGCCACTTGGTATGGCTCTGCGGGTGCCAGTTGTTGAATGAATCCCAGAACCCATGCAGGGGATCGATGAAAACCAATTGATGTAGAAGTGACTAGAGATAAACGATACAGATTGCAATGTTTTACCCGAGGTCAATATCAATTAAAAACAATTATGCTTACTGATATCAACAACTTTAAAATTAATTCTTGTAACTTTCACCACCTTTCTCAAGTATTATTAACACCTGCGGGCTTCGAAAAGATGTTCTGTGTCGTGGTAACCACTTACAGTTCACAACACACACACAAAATTACATATACTTATCTGACAATATCCTTGCATTAATATAAACTTAATATCAAAATATAAAATTCTGGACATCAATATATACCTGGTCATAAATTTAAAAAAAGACTGACTGGATTTCATAGGTTGAAAGTGTGTAACCAGACACATTTCAGACTGTAGATATTCTTTCAACAACAAAACCATATACATAAATCATATTGTAAACTGACAAATAACTTGTATAAAAAGATCATAATAAATAATTTAACAAAAAATATTTTTTATAAAACACTATAGAACTATAGATGACTTGCATTTCTCTAAAAAAAAAAGAATACTTTCTTTTCAGCAGGGACATTTGGATGATGATGTTTCCTCATCCTTCAAGGGATTAGAACCTGTGGCCTGGAAGGAATCAGAAATTCCTTCTAATTCTGCGTGTTTGGCCATCATTTCTTCAAGCAAAAATCTGGGGATCAGATATGATGGTTAAGCAGGTGATTTTTTTTCTTCAGTTGTCATGGCACATCAACAAAATGAACTGATTAGCGGTAATGACAAATGAGTTGGATTATCTTCACAGCACTTCGGACAAATCTATAGGTGCTCTGATTTCCTCTTCAACATATTCATCAGCGGTGTCCCAAGGGTAATAATGCCAGTCCTATGCTGGCTGAAACGACTTCTTGTGCTTGGCTGTGGCAATCTTTACTCCCTATTCTCAGCAGTGATGTGGACACATTGTTTTTTAAATCCTCGAATCCTGGGACAAATATGAAGGTAAAACTGCAATTACAGGAGAGCAATGACTCAAACTACTGTGCCTCGACCCACCTGATCATGCTCAGAGAATCACTCAGCAAACACAAGTGGGAATAGTCCTGTGATTCTAGCCATGTGAAACAGTTTTTGAGCCTGTGAAATAATTTCCAGCTTTTCTAGTCATTTTGTCTGTTCCAAGTACAGTGCAGACCTGATAAGGAGAACTCACTGGGGACCAGAGAAATGGTTCATTTTATCAGAAATTTCTATTACCTGGATAAGAGTTCAATCAAGAAAAATTACTGGGGATAAACAAATAATTCTTTTCAACAGAAATTCGCCACATCCAAGATCGCCTTAAAAGGTCTGCACTGTATACAGAAGTAGATTTATGTCTTTTTCAATCTGGTTACTGGGCTAGGGCCATTTCTTGGGAGATTCTGTTGGTAGTTACTCACATAAGTACTTTTACTCTTCTGGCTGGATATTGTAGGGAGATGTACACATGACAAAGGAATGTGGGAAACAGGAGGTCGTGAGAAAATGTAGATGATGTCAGAGAAAGAGAAGTAGACAAAAAATGTAGATGAAGAAGATACAGGAGACAATAATGATGCAGGAGAAACAGGAGTAGACTGAGAGAATGGAGACAGTAAGAAAATGTAGATGGTAAGGGAGACAGAGCGAGGAACTGCAGATGGTATAGGAGATACAGTGAGGAACTGTAGATGATATGGGAGATACCGAAAATGCAGATGACGCAGAGACGTACAGAAGGAAACACTGTGGAAATAAAGACAAAAAGCTAATTGTGGGAGTTATGAGAGACAATGAGGAAATTAGGTTCAGAACAATCAGGGAAACATAAATCAAGCATAAGAAAGTAACAGGTACAGATTTTAATATGTCATCAATGGCAGACTTTCACAGATTATAAGAGGAAGAGAAATTTACATATATACCAACACACCCCATGGATTCTTCGATCATCAAGCCGTCCTTCACAGATGTCTCCGACCAACCCAGGAAATTAAACTCCTTGCATAACTCTTCAATTTCTTCCTGAGTTACCTCCCTGTGCTCTATGTCATCACACTAAAATCAAGAAGAAAAGAAGCAATTTTTTTTTAAACAAGACTATTTTTTGTTTGAGAAAGGTTATATTTTATTCTTGGGTGAACTCAATACCACAGCAGACCCCCTGGAGAGAGGAGTATAAGTTTCCAATACACATCAAGACTGAAGTGAAAGGGGTATTTGACAAGGAAGAACAAAACAGTGTGCAGCGCAAAACAGCCACCCTCAGTCTACTTGATGATGAATACCCGCAGAACCTTTGGGTCCGTGTTTACACAGATGGGTCAGCAGAAAGCGCAGTCAGAAACGGAGGTGCGGGAGTGTACATTGAGTATCCTAATAATACCAGGGATACAGCCAAATTACCAACGGGAAAGCACTGTCACAACTATGATGCAGAAGTTCAAGCCATCAAGATAGCGGTAGAGAAACTACTAAATACAGGGTATTTTTCACAACCAGTGGTATTCCTGACAGATGCAAAAGCAGTACTTCAGTCACTCCAGTCTGGAAAATTACCAAGCATACGGACACTATCATCCGAACTAGGCAACCGCTGTAAATTAGTAATGCAGTGGATACCTTCCCACTGTGGAGTTCCCGGAAACGAAAAAGCTGATAAACTAGCTAAGGAAGGTGCAACTTAAGAACAACCTGACATACCAGTCTCTTATCAACAGAAGAAGAGAATGATCAAATCAATCAGTATGCCACCGAAACTGGCACAAGATGATTACCATATTATGGACAGACCAGAGCAAGTTATTATCCTTCGCCTTAGAACAGGGCACAATAGACTTCGCTCCCACATGTACAACAAATTTAAGATTGGCCAATCGGCCATGTGTACTTGTGGACTGGCACCTGAAACAACAGATCACATCCTTCAAGACTGTCCCATATTCAACGCTTTCAGGCAAAACATTTGGCCAAAAGAGACACTTGTGGAAGTCAAACTTTACGGGCCGCTTAGTGAATTACAAAAGACAGTGAAATTCATACAAGAGACGGCTTTGCAGATATAGACAATTTATTTCATGCGAACGAAAGAAGAAGAAGAAATACCACAGCAGCATTTGTTAAATCTTCCTCGTAACAAAGGAAGTGCTCATGTTTTGCAGCATTACCTGGCTGCTTTGTGTGAAATGAAATGCCAGAGAAAAGCTGCCAACTTAACCATCCGAGACAAAGTTAGGAATTATCAGACAAACTGTAGGGACAATACCACGCAGCACATTCATTGAGAAACAGAAGATCAAAGGGTTTAGTTATTTAGTAAGAGTGCAGCCATAACAACTACCAGCCCAGGCACTACATATGAAAGGATCTGAAGTGAAAGCAAGAGGCCGCCTTAGGAGAATATGGACTGGTGACATAGACCTTCTACATCGACATGACATGACAACTGCCAATGCTGCGTGTGAAGCAATGGATTGCAAACTGTTCCTCCTCCCTGTAGTCAAAGTTGAAATTGATGATGATCTGGCTGCTTTATACGTGTCTACTAAAGAAACCACCTGAGGATTAGGGAGCAAGAAAATGACAGGAAAGCCTATCTATAATAAAAAAAGGTCACATAATTTGCTAGCAATGTCAAGCATGGATGCAGTCTTCAGAAGACAGTTGGAAAATATGACAGGAATGAAATGTTTATGTACTATGCTAAGTGCAATGAGAAAAGATCGACTTAGGAACAATGATATCAGGAGGAGAGTCGGCACAGAACCAATACTGAACATTATAGGTAGACAGCAAATCAAATGGTTTGGCCATGATGTAACAAGATTTGCATCAGACACCGCACCACAGACAGCAATGTTATACAGATACAGCGGTAACAGATCCAGAGGTCGACCACACAGAACATGGACCGTAGAAACATCAAAGACACTGAAAAGTACTTTATACAAAGCAAACAGAAGCACCTGTTCGAGAGATCTGTTCCTGCCCTAATGCCACGAGGCATTCTAGGAGTAGAGAACTAAAGGGCCTGTTTTAGAAATCTCTTCCTGCCCTGATGCCGTGAGGCATTCTAGGAATAGAGGACAGAAGAAGAAGAAGGGTGTCTTTATGATATATAAAGATCTCTGTAGAATACTGAGATAAGCCCACCAAAGATAAACAAAAGTTTTCATAAATCTCTGCGATGAGAAAAATGTAGCAGTCCATGAAATCTGATGTCATAAAATTACATTTTTCAGCCAATGTAACATTTGCTGCCACTTAGATGTTACAGATCTAACATTTGTGGCTAGAGTGTTAATTATGAGAGTGAAGGCATTTTGCATTGCAAGATAATCAATTTTTCTTTACGCATTAGTTATTTAGAATACAAAACTAATAAATATGTCAGAGACAAAATATAAAAATATTTGCAGGACATCAAAAGCCTCTCTTGACAGTGGTGACACATCGCAAGCTAGCTTGGTTTGGGCATGTGGTAAGACATTCAGTTGCAAGGACTGTACTTCAAGGAACACTGGGGGTTAGTCAAAGAAGAGGAGGGCAAAGAAGAAACTGGAATGATAACATCAAGAAAAGGACAGGACTAAGGTATCATACACTTATTCATCAAGCAGAAGACAGAGAAAGATGGCAGGTTTTATGTGCTAGTACTTCTATCAATGTCGGCTCTGTGGCTAAGTCGATGCTAATGCGGGCCACGCGCCTTGCGTTGGTTTTGACAGTGGTATCAAGAAAGCCGACCGTCCAATAAGCGATGGCAAATTACTGGATGTAAATTTACCAAGAGAAACCACACAACAGCCAGGAGCTGTTAGGGTTGGTTATTCAACGTCCTGTAAAGGATACGCAACTAACCTTAACTTCTATCAATATGGCAAACTACTGGACGTAAATTTGCCTAGAAAAACCACACAACCGCCAGGGGCTGTTGGGGTTGGTTCTGCAACGTCCTGTAAACCACCCTCTAAAATGTTGGACTGTCCTGTGACGTCATCTGGGTGTAGGATATTAATAAAGCACCCTCAAACAGCTTTTCTTTTTCATGATAATCAACTAACGTCTTTAAATGCCTACTTGTTATGTTCAATATCACTTGTATTGGTATGATTCTCATCCTTGAGGTGCTAATACTACAGATTGCAATCCTGGAGGAGAAAAGTTGCCTACTCTAGCCTCTACAGAATCAGAAAGACATTTTTAGCAGCACACTTGGGTTTTTATGCTGCCACACAGTAGGCTGAAAAACACCACCACAAGGGAATCAAGGATGGGTAATACTGTAATCTTACACCGGCATAAGGGAATCAAGGACTTGTAACATTGTAGTCTAACACTGCTATAAGGGAATCAAGGACTGGTAGCATTGTAGTCTAACACTGCCATAAGGGAATCAAGGATTGGTAACATTGTAGTCTAACACTGCCATAAGGGAATCAAGGACTGGTAACACTGTAGTCTAACACTGCTATAAGGGAATCAAGGACTGGTAGCATTGTAGTCTAACACTGCCATAAGGGAATCAAGGATTGGTAACACTGTAGTCTAACACTGCTATAAGGGAATCAAGGACTGGTAGCATTGTAGTCTAACACTGCCATAAGGGAATCAAGGATTGGTAACACTGTAGTCTAACACTGCTATAAGGGAATCAAGGACTGGTAGCATTGTAGTCTAACACTGGCATAAGGGAATCAAGGACTGGCAGCATTGTAGTCTAACACTGCCATAAGGGAATCAAGGACTGGCAGCATTGTAGTCTAACACTGCCATAAGGGAATCAAGGACTGGTAGCATTGTAATCTAACACTGCCATAAGGGAATTAGAGATTGGAAACATTGTAGTCTAACACTGCCAAAAGGGAATCAAAGACTGGTAACATTTTAGTCTAACACTGCCATAAGGGAATCAAGGATTTATAACATTGTAATCTAACTGCAAAAATCCAATCAAGCATTAACAGCCTGCAAAGGGCATGTGTGAGATTACAATTACCTAAGATATATTGGGAGATGGAAGACAGAAGGAGAAGAGGGACTTCATAACGAAAAAAAAAGACAGTGAACCAACATGAACTAATGCGATTTGTTATCACACATTCACAGATATCATGAAGAACAGAAATGAGTACATAGAGTCCAATAATGATAGTCAATTCTGATAACTTGATAATAACGCCAATCATTCTTATATGTGTAGTGTTCTCATACACATGAAATTGCTCTAACTAATTTCTCACAGCAGGATAGACAGCAGTTTCCAGTACCACAGATAACTCATTCACACTATTTCTAGCAATCACGAATTCTTATCTCTCCAAGAGATATTAAACCGTTCACAACATTTCAGCATTTTCATAGTTGTAGCAATGAGCTGGAAAAACGGAGAAAGCAGCAGTAATAGCGCAGAAACAAAGTTATCTTCATCTACTTCTTCTTCATGTTCACCAGCTGAAAACTTTGGTGAAAGTTCTGGTTGTTTGTCCACTTTGAGGCTTTGGTCTTGTTTCAGAACTTTAGTGATGGGTGTACATTTGTTTTACAGATCTAGCTTATGTATATGCAGATTTTTTCCTCACCTTTCAGACAGAGGCATTCTGACTTTAAAAGAAACGCCTTTAATTATTCACATCTTACTACATGCTTGTTAGGGAGGCATTATATATAAAATATACAGAAAATGTATTGATTAGCACTCATAGAAATAAGTAGAAAGATAGAAGGACACGCTAGACGACACAAAAATCAAAAGCTGTAATTATCGTGCCCGGAATAGATTCCCAGCAATAAAATTTTAGCTTTCAATTTTTATGCTGTCTAGTGTGTCCTTCTATCTTTCTATGAGTACCAATCAATACATATATATATATATATATATCGTCATCCCATTGTGGGACTCCAATTTTAGTTATTTTGAAGCATCCACCCTGGCTTCTGCCGGGGGCCCTAAATATGGCCTAGCAGTTGAAAGGGGTTTCCGGGACCTCTCCACTGGTGAATCTCATCCGCATGGTGGCACTTTGTGTCACCGGGTGTTTATGGCTTGTGTGATTAGTGTGGTGGGGTACAACTTACCTACCTACCTACCAATCAATAAACTGTTTGTTTATTATATATATAATATTTCTACAGCCTCCAGGGTTCCCCCTCTATTTATTTTTGTTAGGGAGGCAGTGGGTCTATTTTTTTTTTTTGGACCCATAAGTAGGGCCTCGAAACCCACATAAGGAAAATTATCTTTATGAAAAACAAAGCTACATTTATGAGACTTATGACAAAAGTTTGAGGTAACGTACTTTATTAGCCAACAGTAAACAAGGCACAGGAGAGCCATCAACTAAGTTACACTTTTGATCCAGATCTCGCTTCCATCTGACAGTGTTCTGAAATGTGCTCTTCTGGGTTAAGTCAAACATGATCAAACAGGCATGTGCATCCTTGTAGTAAACTCTGGTCATTGATGTGAACCTCTCTTGTCCTAAAGAGAAATTTTAAATATGCTGGTTACATTTGATAAATATTACAGCAGACTTTTGGCTCAAGGAAGGAAGCGAACTGCTAACTTTCCTTAACTCTTTGAGGCCCGAGCTGTGTGTTGATTGAGAAGTTCTAATCTGCCCAAACAACACTGTCTGCATCGATCGTGTGCCCCATTCATATTGATTTGCAGATGGCTCCATTTTCAATTTTAATGTTCAGTACTATCATTAGAGTGTTCAGGGAAGGTTACTTTAACTTTTCTTCATAAACAAATCTATGATCGCACATGTAGGCACAAACTAATCCAATAAATTGCTAGCATGATTTTCAGACAATACAATTTCATGTTCAGATGGCCATGGTTACCAGCTCTCCTCCGAACTTCAACCCGATATTATGGCGGCCATAAAATTTTCTTATGGGGCTCAGGCATATGTAAAATGCAGATTTTCTGCCAAGGAACAAATTGTGGCAAAACTAGGATTACTTGACAATTTCAAGAGACGCAACACTGCAGATGATAGTAGCAGACGATAATAGCATGCGCAAAACGCAATTAAACTCACCGCCGAGCATATCCCCCATGCGGCGCAGATGAGGGGCTAAACTAGGTGCCTGGGTCTCACAAGCAAATTAATTGGAGGAAGTTGCAGGAGATGCGGTAGCCGCTGCTCATGAGTCCCAGCCATCTAGTTTAGCCCCCATCCGCACTGTGCGTAGCGGCGTGAGGGATAGGGTCGGCGGTGAGGCATAGTCACAGAAACAGGTCCCAAGTAACATGTCGCTGAGACCCGGCATTATTTCCTTATACGGAGTCTGCATATTTTTAATAGAACTGAGCAAGGATATTTTATGGCCGCCATAATATCGGGTTGAAGTTCGGAGGAGTGCCTGGTTACCAATGTTCAGAACACAAGCCCAAGCCGCAAAATTCGCCTTTCTGTTGCTGAGACTCTGAAACTGTTTCAGTCAGATGTTTTCTAATAATGAAACACTGACATTTTTCAGAAATCTATTCGGAAGGTCAATAAATATACATCAGCCCGAGAGGCAAGGAACCAAAACTCTGTATACAATTAAGTCACACCTGATAAGTGGATGTGCACACAACACTCAGGTTCTGGAACAAGACTAAAGTCCAGAGGTGGACAAACAACCAGGACTTTTTGCCGGAGTTTACAACTAGTAAACACAAAAAAAGAAGATTTTCAGAATCCAAACCAGAAACTTGAACTGGACTGCACTGAACAATGAATACTGTCAACAACAACAAATGTATGAACTTACCAGCAATATCCCACAGCTGAAGCTTGATGTTGTATTTATGTGACCATCTGATCACTTTCAAGGCAAAGTCCACTGAAATATAGTGTACATCATCATTCTCAATGTCATGAATGATTACAGTGACAATTCAATAACTCTATCAATATGGCAAACAGAAAAGACAACATCCAAACATATATTAAAGAGATAGTGCTATACCTAACCATATTGAAGAGATAGTGCTATACCTAACCATATTGATGAGATAGTGCTATACCTAACCATATTGAAGAGAAAGTGCTATACCTAAACCTATTGAAGAGACAGTGCTATACCCAACCACACTGAAGAGACAGTGCTTTACACAACCATATTGAAGAGATAGTGCTATACCTAAATATATTGAAGAGATAGTGTTATACTTAAATATATTGAAGAGATAGTGCTATACCTAAATATATTGAAGAGATAGTGCTATACCTAAATATATTGAAGAGATAGTGATATACCTAAATATGTTGAAGAGATAGTGCTATACCTAAACATATTGAAGAGACAGTGCTATACCTAAATATATTGAAGAGATAGTGCTATACCTAAACATATTGAAGAGATAGTGCTATACCTAAATATATTGAAGAGATAGTGCTATACCTAAATATGTTGAAGAGATAGTGTTATACCTAAACATATTGAAGAGATAGCGCTAAGCCTAAACATATTGAAGAGACAGTGCTATACCTAAACATATTGAAGAGATAGTGCTATACCTAAACATATTGAAGAGACAGTGCTATACCTAAACATATTAAAGAGACAGTGCTATACCTAAACATATTGAAGAGACAGTGCTATACCTAAACATATTGAAGAGATAGCGCTAAGCCTAAACATATTAAAGAGACAGTGCTATACCTAAACATATTGAAGAGATAGTGCTATACCTAAACATATTGAAGAGACAGTGCTATACCTAAACATATTAAAGAGACAGTGCTATACCTAAACATATTGAAGAGATAGTGCTATACCTAAATATATTAAAGAGACAGTGCTATACCTAAACATATTAAAGAGACAGTGCTATACCTAAACATATTAAAGAGATAGCGCTAAGCCTAAACATATTAAAGAGACAGTGCTATACCTAAACCTATTGAAGAGACAGTGCTATACCTAAACGTATTGATGATGGTAGAGGAAGTACATAGGAGTTCATATCAAAAGCTTCCTTCAAAGTTGGAATACATCCGCCTGAGAGGCAAGGAACCAACAGTCTGCATGCAAATGAGTCAGACCTGTGAAATGGATATGCACACAACACTCAGTTTCTGGAACAGGACTAGAGTCCAGAATTGGATGAACAACCAGAACTTTCCACCAGAGTTTACAGCCGGTGAACGTGAAGAAGATCTCAAAAGCAAATGGATGTCGCTTAGTGTAACAAAGCCTGGCATATGATATCACTACACCTAGTATAAGAATAGAGGTGGAGGCAGTCATTTCTGTCTTCCTCTGGATTGAGAATCAGCTGTACACACACATCGTAATGTGTAAAGGTTAGCCTTAAGGTGTCATATTTGATTCGTAAGTGTTCTATTCGGGTCAAGTTTCCACATAAAGTAATAATAAAGTAGTCATCCTGTCTGTGGTTGGCGGTTTTTTGACTGATTTAATAATCCTTTTCTTTTGGTGGTTATTCATTAAAAAGTGCTAACCACCTATTTAAGGGTGAAGGCACAAGAACAAAAGCATGTCTAAATATATTTATCATAACATGGAAAGATGACTCAATATACCTACTATAAAATGGAAAGACAACTACTGTATGTTATGAAAAAACACAGCCACTACTCACCTCCAATTGTCATCTTATAGTCTTTGCGGAAAGTGTTACTAACATACTTTTGAACAAATGATGTTTTGCCGACAAAAGGGTCACCAATAATAATCACTTTGAATAAAAGCTCGGTCATTTTAATATCAAACAATTTGGCAATTCAGACTTGTTGAGGTGTAACTGTGATCAGTACTGTCTTTACCGCATTAAAGAGCTTCTTCTACCTTCCAAGTTTCATAGTATGAAAGCAGCCATTATCTGAAATGGCAAACAGAATAGATCTAGAAAAGTTCTGTCAAAGTGTTTTTCATGACAAGAGTTAACATGACTGAGATGATGATCAGAGAGGGAGGTAAGATGTCATGAGATTTGATATTTTATTCTGAGAGCACCCCAACCCATTTTAGTTGTTAAAATATCATTGTCATTTGAAGGAGACAAACAAAGTTCTTTGGTCATATAATGAGAAAAGGAGCATTGTAAAATACTGTGACAACTGGGAAGATCACTGGTAGAAGAGGCAGAGGCAGATCAAGAGAAATGAAGGTGGATGGCTGGCATGCAGGAATATCATCAGCAGAATTCATCCGGAACACCAAAGATTAAAATCTGTGGAGACGCATGAACGCCTGAGCCAGCTGGCAAGGCAATTGATGATAATGATAGGAAAAGACAGAAGAGAAGTACATTTTGGAAAGAGCAAGGAAAAGGCCCTTTCCCATGCCTTCAGGCTTACTGGGCATATAGGGCTAGTCCAATAATTTATAGACCTATTGACACTCAGTGGGTAATGTGGTCAACATCACACCCGCTGCCTTTACTTCCCAGGACTATATCTGGTACCCATTTAAGGCTGGCTGGGTCGACCTGGAAACTAAGGTCATATCTGAAAAAAGTCCAACTCCATTAAGACCTGAACCCACCACCTTCGGATCCGCAGGCAAGGGTTTAGCTACAAGTTTTTTTTTTTGGCTACACCATGGCGGCTCCCAGAGAGCAATCTAAAAAGTAAAAAATAAAGCTTGTTCACATTCTATGAATGTGTTTTAAAGTTTACTGTTACAGAAATAGATTTATTTTACTGTGAATGAAGAAGAAGAAAAACTTGCATTTTACAAGATCATGTGATGAGAAAAAATATTATATCTAGGGGTTTTATTTTTCACTGTAACCTTACATTCACATCATGGTGACTGGAACTATCAGTTGTAGAAGAAGCACAGTGGGCCTTGTGGGGAGGGAGATGGTGGTGGCAGAAGTGGCACTCTTTTAGGCCTAACTTTTTCAGGTTACAACCTAGGGCTCTAATGCAGGGGAACTGAGTTCGACCCCTGGTGAGGTGAGTTTTTTGGTCAGAAAGAGGGACAAAATTAAAGATCCTAACCTGCACAGCCCATGGTGACATCCCTAGCCGTGCAGACCTAAATCCTCTGACCCCTGGCTATCCTGCCCTAAAAAAGATTGTAAAACAGACAGTAGTGACAGTGCCTGTGTTAGACACTCTGCAGTGAGTAACTCCTCGCAGCGCCATTCTCCTTAGATCGTAATGATCTATCTGTGCCTCCGCTCTGTTCACTCGCTCCCAAAGGGCCCTCAAAATATTTTGTTATATATCAATTCCCCACCAAGTGGTGCAGAACAAGCCAGTCTATCTGCCTGCTCATTTACCAACACACCAGCATGACCTTGAGAAAATTCTCAAAGGATGCTGGGCACAGGTATGTCAGGGTAAATTATTCTGGATTGTCTAATGTAAAGGTGTGGGGGTATAATCATCAACAGAAATGGTTTACAACAGCAAGGAAAGAAATCTTTTGAAAGAAATGAAGGTCTAGTCTATCTCAGTTAGTATCTGCAAGATATATGATGACGTTAATCATTTCCACTTATTCATTTAACTTAAACGTGTCCTTCCATTGTCTTATATGCTCAGTAACTTTGTTTCAATGCACCCTTTCGGTGCCCCAGATTTTTGGCACAACATCCAGTTAGATTTTGTTTAAATCGCAATTTGATTATACAGTATTATATTATATACCGCAGAATCAAAACGTTCTGCAGACAACACAAACATTTGTCAACGATTTAGAAAAAAAAAAGAGAAAAAAAAAAAAAACCCAGTCATGCACAGAATGAAACATTTGTAAAGACCCTGGTTCTCGGCAAAAAACGATTTTACAAACGGACACAACCTTGTAACATCTTACAAAAACCAATGTTTTCCCCTTTCTGAGACACAAGTTGCTCCAAGTTGGATTCTCACCTGTTGTTTTGAGCCACACCTTTTGTAAACTTCCGCTGGTATCTCAAAAATAAGAAACAGGTGGGGGCATGATATCTAAAGAAAAGTTCTCTCCAGTACCAAAGAGTTTTGGGAAATGCCATTGTGTTATCAAAACCCAGTAAATGAAAAATCTTAACTGCACCTCCGTGCGCCAGAGGATGGGCAACACACCATAGTGTGGCAAACGCAGCTCTGGGGACCGAGTATTCACCGGAATAAGTGGACAACACTGCTGCTGAGCAGAGCAGGACACTCACTTGTCCTGACAATCGGTAATTGCTGTCAAAGGCAAAGACCCCCATGTGGAAGTCTACGGGAAACCACTACAATATCTTCGCAAGCATTCATGCAGTCACAGATTTAATTAAGTGAACGACTTTAATGGGTGTCTTCTGCCATGAGTCCCAGGTGACACCAGACCGTCATCAGACTACCGAGGGCAAAACTAATTAAAAAAAAAAAACTAACAATGATTGCCTGGAAATGGCTAATGAAATTAGAACATTATATACAACAATGAGAAGGAGACAAACAAAGTTCTTTGGTCATGTGACGAGGGAAAGAGCACTGGAAAATATTCATGACGCCTGGAAAGTTCACTAGTCGAAGAGGCCGGCCAAGAGAAATGATGGTTGATGACTTAAGACAGTGGCAAGGAGGAATAACATCCGTGGAATTGATCCAGAACACAAGAAACCGAGATATATGGAGGTGAATGAACGCCTACGCAAGATGGCAAGCACTTGATGATGAAAGAAATGTGACGGTGCTACCAAGCGTTGTGTACATCCATAAAAAGGCACTGCTGATTACTGATTGAAAATTCCAGCTCACGAGCTGTAAACCCTTTGGCTTGGTACTATAGATATCGCAACCCTTCGGTCTTGATTTCATGAAAGGTACTGTAAGTCTGGGAGATTTGTGGCTTTCCTGCCTACCCCTCCCTCCGGACAACAAGAAGTTCGCCACCCGGTCGCCGCGCAGATGGTTTTAACCATCTGAGCTAGCGCGTCGGGCAAAGATATTCATCTCTGAGGAGGAAATATAGTCGCACTTTTAATCAAATTGTAACTGGTACTATTAGCATGTCGACTCTTCACTGGCTACAGGGAAAGGAAAGTTGAACAAGCGTGGGAATGTCCCGAGCATGCAGTGCAGTGCAGTAGAAGTACTTTAGAGTGGCTGCTGCTTCGGAGAACTGAGCACGCATGGGTATGCCCAATGTGCAGTGACATTAATTGTGATGACAGAACATAAAATAACAACTTAGTAGGGAGTCGGCAGTACGAAACCCAAGTTCAAGGTGTCTCCTTCGTGCCAAAGAACTGCATGGCTGTTGGGTGAACAGTCGTTAACGATGGCAGGCAGGTCGTTGTAGGGGCGACGCCTGCTGGTGGATGTAATGTCCTAAGTCCCTTCCCCAGCTAATAATGAGGGTACTGCTGGGGTGACCGTTTATTAACCCTCATATAATTCTTCCGGTCAAAATGGACGCTAGGTACGGCCACCCTTTTTTTTTTAAAGCCGTGGCAAATATTTTTTTTCCCCAGACGGTGGCCGTTGCATTTTTGCTCCATTTGTAGACTGGAAGGATGTAGTTTCGTCGCCCAGCTTCTGAGTTGAGTGCATGGCGTGACACTGTGAGCTGAGTTTGTTTTTTGTTGGCACAGGAGCGGAGCATATGTGGGGTGACCCGTTTGCTATGAAGCTGAAACTAGGATTACCAGATTACCAGATGCAGTGCTGTCACTTCTTGACTCATTCAGGGTACACATCTCAGAAAACTAGTTCATCTGTACGGTTATACTGGGCTCCTAGAGGTCACAGAGTAACCTAAGGTGCAGACAGGGTAGGGTTAATGTATCGATCCCGTCCTTGCCCCACAGAAGTTATAAAAAGGCCCCCGTGAATGCCACACGATGTTCTCTGCAGTTCTGTACAAGTAAAGTGTTAACCCAGCTAGATTTTTTATGTACCGCGCCACTGCCAGCGCCCAAACAAGGGACGCTACTCTCAATTGTTTGCATGGAGGTGACTAAAACTCCGTCTCAACTCGCATCTGAGAAGGTAGGCCCATTCAAACAATCGTTTCACACTCATGTCTCCCTCGTACAACCTATGTTAACTAATTACACAGTGATATTGTTTACTTGTGGATGTGCAGTATATATCTTCATATCGAATTAATGAGACCAAGAAAAAAATTCATCATAAATAATGGCTGGAATGATATGATTATGATGGTCTTGAGTCTAAACTAACTACTACGTTAAAAAAAGTTTAGAGAAGAGAGATGATCATCATCATATGACTATTGAAAAGTCATGAATGCATAACTTTGAAACAGGCAAGTTACACAGTGGGAGTAGCCAGTATAGAAGCCAGATTTCTTTAGTGTGCTGTGACCATTAGTAATATTAATAATAGCATAATAGCGTTCTGGGATTTATGCGGAAAGGTTTTTTTTTTAGGCATCACTGTTGCATGGGACTGAAAGATTTAAAGTTAATCTAACAAGGGCGGGAAGAACTTTTATTTAATACTCATAGGATAATTTGAATTAAATACATACCATTAGAATGTAAGTTGCCTGTACCATTCTCTGCTTTAGTCGCTTCTCTGCTCATCATCATCTTATCATATGCCCTGCCAACTGGCTTAGGCGCTCATGCGTCTCCACAGATCACGATTCCTGGTTGTCTGGAACAGCTCTCTTGATGATATCCCTCCATCCCATCGTTTCAGCCCATCCAGCATCATCTCTCTTGGTCTGCCTTTTTTCACTGATCTTTTCAGTTGTCACGATGTTCTCCTGTCTCTATTCTCATTATGTGGCCAAAGAACAGTGTTTGTCTCTTTCATTTTGTTGTATATAGAGATCTACTTTCATTAGCTTCTTTCAAGCAATCATTGTAAGTTCCTCTGGCCGTGCAAGGTATTTGTAACATCCGTCTCACCCCTCTTCTACTTGGGGGTATAGCAGTTTACCTGAAAGATCGTCAGACTTTTTCTGTCTGCAGTTTTCTTTGTGGCTTTGTTCCACTCAGCCCTTTGTCAGTCAGGGACTGTCGGACGTTGTTTTCTTAGTGAACCCTGTGTCGTCCTGGAGGTCTGGTTCTCGGCTTCCTATGCCCAACATGGCGGCTGATTCCCTCCCATTCTGCAAACATGTTTATATGCCATTCTCTCTATAGACTATAATGATCTTTTCATGCCTCCGTGTTCACTTGCTCCCAAAGGGTCCCGACCACATCTGACTTATTATGCATCATTTCAATAACCAGTCTGTCTGCCTGTCTATTTTCCAACACAGCTGCCTGCCTCAAAGAAAATATCCATTTGGTGCTAACTGCGTCTCTGAAGTGATACTTGCCAATTGCACAGTGATGCTTGTCAGTCTGCATGGATCGTGCCTGTCTCCACCTTTCTGAATATGCTTTGTGAGTCGGTTACAGTCATGACCTGTGTGCACAGCTGGTTCTTTAGCCAGTGGAAAGCTGCTTTGTCTGCCTTAACCTCCATTTACAAATTAGATTGTAATATCATATGCGCCAACACTATACTATCAGTGCCAAATTTGGACACCTACATTCTCCAAACAACGTCAAATTGTGACAACAGAGAAAAAAATGCCTTAGAAGAGCTGCAGGAGTTTCAAGGAAAGACAAAATATGAAATCAGACAAATACTAGGAATAAAGCCAGTCTTACAAGTTATCAAAGAACAACAAATGAAGTGGTTTGGACACCTAACAAGAATGCCCTGGTACTATCTGCTACAGCGAGCCACACTAAAACGTTACAACGGGTTTAGAGCAAGTGGAAGACCTTGGAAAATATGGAGTAATGGCATTAGAACAGCCTTACAGAAATGAACATCATTCTTAATAGTGCTGTTGACAGAGCTCATCAACGAATGTTACGTCTCCCCTGAGACTTCGCTGAGGTACAAGGTGGAAAAGAAAAAGAAGAAAAAGTATCATATGCTAGATTTCATTACATGAAGTCATCCATTGACTTTCACAGTGAACCCTCTTGCAGTTCTTCTGCCTCTAAGCACAGAGTTGATAATTACATCAGCTGGGTGTTGGTAATAGTTATGAACCATTTGTTGAACTTCTGATTCTGCAGCACCATCCGGCCTGTCCCTGCATATATGGGCCAGTGTGATTAAAATCCTTCACTAGTCTGATTGTTGCCCTGACATTTTTACCAACTGCTCTCCCTATAAAATGTTTTCCTACACATACAAACATGGAGAGTTGCCATGGTGTAACCGCTAGATGCTTGCCTGTGGATCAAAAGGTTGTGTGTACGGGCCCTGACAGGACTAGGCTTTCTTAAAAAAGGACCTTGGCTCCAAGGTCGACCCAGCCTTGAATGGGTACCAGGTGCAGTCCTAGAAAGGAAAGGCAGCCTGGGCGATGATGACCTCAACCACCAAATGCCTATTGGTTTATAAAATATAGGTCTAGCCCTATATGCCCAATATGCCTGAAGGCGTGGGAGAGTTTTCTTTAATTTTTGCTTACTTTACTTACATACAGTTATCTCTAATTGTGTCCTCTGTCATCATATACAGTGGACTCATTTTTGAGGCAAGTCTGGTTATCCAGGTCTTTCGTAGTCTTTTGACATGTAGTCGTGTTTTTGTTTTTCAGCATGTATCCAGAATACAGCTTATTGTCATGTTTTATTTTGTTTTCAGTTTGCCGAAACTACTGCAAATGGACACGTCTGAAATAGAAGCAGTTGACGACACAGCGGATTCTGTTGTATCAGCTTCAAAAGGAACAATGGAATTGTCCTCAGATGTATCTGCATTAGACAAGATCCATGAGACTCAGGCAGATCTAGGCTCTTTTAGGTCAGGAGTCGACAGTTCTGTTCAGGATGAGGACTCCGGTTCACATTTTGGAGTAGGGTCCAGTACAGAGAATGTGACAAATGGCACTGTTGATAGCAAGGTTGTTAATGAACATAGAGATCATGGAGAAATGTCAGAAAATGTCAGAGTCACCCCATCAGAGGAAGTTCTAGAGGAACAGGCTGACCAAACTTCAGAAGACGTAAGAGGAGAAGCTTTAGAAGAAGAAACTGGTGGAATTTCCAAAGAAGGTGGCGAAGAAGTTTCAGACACAAGTGAAAGAGAAAAAAGCAGTGAAGAAACTTCAGAAAAGAATGCAGGTCTTGTAGAAAAGGTGAGTGAAGAAGCATTAGAGGAGGCAGGTATTGAACCCTCAGAAGAACTGGGTGATGGGCCCTCGGAAGAACTGGGTTATGAACCTTCAGAAATGAGTAAAAAATCTCCAGAAGTTGATGAAGAACCTTCAGAAGTTGGTGAAGAACCTTTAGAAATTGCTGAAGAATCTTCAAAAGTTGGTGAAGAACCTTCAGAAGTTGGTGAAGAACCTTCAGAAGTTGGTGAAGAACCTTCAGAAGCTGGTGAAGAACCTTCAGAAGCTGGTAAAGAACCTTCAGAAGTTGGTGAAGAACCTTCAGAAGCTGGTGAAGAACCTTCAGAAGTTGGTGAAGAAACTTCAGGAGTTGGTGAAGAAACTTCAGGAGTTGGTGAAGAACCTTCAGAAGCTGGTGAAGAATCTTCACAAGTTGGGGAAGAACCTTCAGAAGTTGCTGAAGAACCTTCAGAAGTGGGTGAAGAAGCATTAGAAGTGTATGAAGAACACCCAGGAATTGGTCAAGAATCCACACAAGTTGGTGAGGAATCGATAGAAGAAGTAAGCGAGGAACCTTCAGAAATGAGTGAAGAGGTGAATGAAATTTCATTGGAAGTGGATGAAGAATCTTCAGCAGAAAGCGATACAAATGTTTCCCATGAAGCACATGAACAAGCTTCACGAGAAGTGTCAAAAGAAAAGAAGGAAGAGTGTTTGTCAGCTTCAGCAGAACTGTACAAGAAAGCGGACCACTTACAAGACAAAGAAGTGTTAGAAAAAACAAGTGAACATACAGCAAAAACACTGAATGAAAAATCTTCACATGAGAGTAAAGGAACTTTAGTAGAAGTAGATGAAGCTTCAGAAGATGATGATTATGAAGAAGTTGCTTTGGTAGAGTTGGATGGTGAGTCTTCTGGGGAATCAGATGAAGAAGGTAAGGATCTTTCAAAAGGGAATAAAGTAGCAACAGATGAAGATGCTGCAAATGAACTTGACGAAACTCTTAAAGAGGTAATTAAAAAGTCTCCCGAAGAAGTAATTGAGGAAGCTTTCAAAGAGGTAATTGAGGCAACTTTCAACAGGATAATTGAAGATGCTTCTAAAGAAATAACTGAAGAGACTTCAGCAGAGATAATTGAAGAAGCTTTCAAAGAAGCAACTGAAGAAAATTCATTAGAAGTAATTGAAGAAGCTTCTGAAGAAACTTCCAAAGAAGTAATTGAAGAAAACTATAAAGAAGTAATTGAAGAAGCTTCTAAAGAAGTAATTGAAAAAACGTTAAAAAAGGTAAATGAAGAAACCTCTAGAGAAGTAATTGAAGAAGCTTTTAGAGAAGTAATTGAAGAGGCTTCTAAAGAAGTAATTGAAGTTTATAAAGTAATTGAAAAAGCTTCTAAAGAAGTAATTGAAGAAGTATCTAAAGAAGTAACTTTAGACTCAGAAAGAAGACATGAACACATTTCAGTACAGGTGATGAAATCTTTAGAAGAAATTGGTGAAGTTTCCTCGGAAGGTTTTGTTGATAGAAATGTACAGAAAATTGATCTCAAGGCTCGAAAGGGTGATGACGAAGTGAGTGAACCAGCCTTGAAAAGTTTGGATAATGCATCTGAGAAGAAAGCTGATCATGTTGCTTTTGAAGAAGCAGGTGATGAATCTGCAGAAGAGGTTAATAAAGAGGATTTGAGAGACAGTAGAGACGAGGATGAAGTTCAGAAGAAAAAGGTACAAGGTGTTAGCTCAGAACCTGCTGAAGGTAGTGTGGATCGTAAAGTTAATGAGTCTAGCCCAAGAGGGGCTGCTTTATCTGGAGAGGCAGAATTATTTGAGGATGATACTGAAAAAGTGGTCACGGAAATGCTGGAGGTGTTAGCAGCTGTGAGCCCAGAACCTACAGCCTTCGCTGAGAATTTTCAAGTTGGGGATTTGGATCTGGCATCAGACTATGTCAGCGATACAGCTGAAGATGTGGCTGCGACCGAAGCAGATTCCAAGGTCAGTGACAGAGAGAAAGCACCAGCGCAAGATGGAGAAGATCTGCAGGCAGTAACTCCTACCTCGTCAAAGCGTCAGAGGAAAGCTACAACAAAAGTGTGAGTCCGTTGTTGTAGTGCCTGTTAACTTGTATATATTACTAACTTACTTATTCACTACTCTTCTACCTTGGTGTGTAGAGGTTTGCCGGAGAGATCGTCAGACTTCTCTCTCAGCAGTTTTCTTTCTGGCTTTGTTCCATTCCAGTTTACATTAACTGCTACAAACTTTTTTTCCTGAGAAAACTGGAGTACATCCTGACAGTAGGACAGTTGGAGGGGAGGAAAGGCAGAGGGAGACTGAGTGAACAGATGCTGGATAGTTTGACATCATGGCATGGAAGATAATTTGTGTCAGAGTTGATTGAAAGTACACAAGACAAGGTTGTAGATAAAGACATGACTACCAACGCCACACGGCATGGACTTTAAGAAAAAGACTGTGTGTGCTCTAAAGTAGTGTTCTTTAACTCGTGGGGCGCCAAACATTTCTACCTCATCATGTAACGGGGTTGGGTGGGTTGTTTTTCAGGACTGCAGCCAGTTGAGATTAACACCTCAAAGATGAGAATAAAACAGATACATATCCCGAAACTCAATTCAGCCATACAAAACAGTTAACAAAAACCATAAAGACAAATTTATGGTATGTTTTTTTAATTCTGTGACAACACAAGAAGAGACAGCATTTATAGAAATATTTAGAACAAGACCATGTCTAGATTATATTGACAAAGAATGAAATGGTTCAGCCATCTAGTAAGAATGCAGCCATATGAGACTTTTTACAACATAAAATCTGGGAGCAAGGTGAGGGGAAGACCAAGAAAGAGGTGGATCAGTGATGTAGCTGAAACCTGAAAAAAGATTAACAAATCCATTACTTTAAGCCACCCGAGAAGCACAAGATAAATACAAGAAACCACAACACTGGGCTACAGCCTGGTATCAGTGAGATGGCAAAAACCACAACACTGGGCTACAGTCTGGTATCAGTGAGCTGGCTAAAACCATTAGACTTGGCTACATCACTGTCTATGACTAATTTCCCTAATGAGTTCACAGCCATTAATCTGTCTCAAGGACTCCCTCGCTTGTTATTCATGATATCCTGTGCATTTTTCTCAGAAAGCCACATGTGATGAAGACTTTAAAAATGAAATATCAATAACAGTAGGTGTATGTGTGGCTTAGGTGCGGAAACCTGGAACTTAAGTCCCTTGAGGACTCCCTCCCTCACCCCCCCCCCCCTTTCCCTCCCAATATTTTTATAAAGGGGTTAAGTTTTAAAAAAAGTTAGTTGCAGATCCACCCACATTGTACATTTCATATTTGTTTCAAGATTTCAAGCTTAGTATAGTATCTATTTGTCATCAAACACATTAATAATAATAATAACGTGATGAATGACAGATAAATACAGCAATATTTTTTTCAAATTATATGAAATTTACATTTAAAAAAAATACTCGAAAAGAAAATTTGGCCCTACTCACATTTCCCACCCATCTTCACACTTTCTCAGTCTGATCTAGGTCAGAGGGGCTGTCACATTGTACTACTGTCTTCGAAAAAGTCTTGTGTCATCTAGGCTCAGTCAGTGGGTAGAGGGTTTAGGTTAGGGCCAGTTCTAAATGCTCTGCGGTCGTTAAAAGCTGTGTCGCTGTGTAGTTTAGAACACGCAACATCGGCGCTGATGTAATTGGAGGCAAGACAGCGTGACACCCCTCTGACGTAGAACAGTTTGAGAAAGCATGAATGAAAGGTCAGCCAGTGTGTAGATGGGCCAGGAAACATTAATAGGACCGAAAATTTATATACATGGTTAGAGGGGGCATCTTAGGACCCTTACAGAATTATTAAGCACACCCCTCAGATCCCTAACACACATTTTAGGGGGGAGGGGGGGCACTCAAGGATGTTAGGACCCCTCACTGCCCCTAATTATTTGCTAAACATGCTCCAAAATGTGTATGGTGGGGGTGGATTGAACCCCTATTGTTTTCTATGTGGGATCTTGTGTGAAAGCCCACTATATTTTGTGGTGGTGTGGACCCGAGTCGGTCACTTTCCCCGTGTGGGTTCTGAGCATCATTTTGAGAGAGAAAAAATAATAGACCTAATGCCCCTCTAACAAGCATGTCATAGTAGGCAACTGATTAATGGTGTTTCCGTGGATGTCAGAGTGCATCTCTCTGAGAGGTGAGGAACCAGCAGTCTGCACACAAATAAGCCAGCTCTGTCAAATGTATGTGTACACAAATCTCAGGTTCTGGAAGTCTAGAAGTGGATGAGTAGCCGGAACTTTCCGCCGGAGTTTACAGGCAGTGAATCTAAAGAAGAAGAAACCTCCCACATCTGTTGTAATTCTTTCTACTGGCTGTCTTCTTCTTTCAGAGAAGAGCCGCCCCATGGGTTCCTAGACCCCATTTTGACGGGATGGGGGGGGGGGGGAATAGAACCACTGCTCCCCTAAAAACCAAGCCGTGAAGGGCCACTAATCAAGTTGTGGAACAATACCAAAGTCCAGAAGTAGACGGACAACCATAACTTTCCACCGCAATTAACAGCTGGTGAAAGATAAGATGTCCTGCCTTCTAAAACTACAAACAGCTAAAAATCCCTGGGGTCGGCTTGTAGCATTATGTAAAAACTTTATTCTTGCATGTGTAATTTATATTTCCTACTCTGGCATTAACAGGCGAGAGATGGAAGAAATCAAGTTTCCTGTGCTAGGAAGAAGCAAGAAGACAAAACTAGAAAGCCCAAAAACAGAAACCTTAAAACCTGACGTTCCCATACCAGAGATGTCCAGATCAAAATCTTTGAAACCAGAGATAGCAGACACATCCACGCCTAAGCCAAAAATATCTAAAGCAAAGATTCCCAAATCAAAGACTCCAAAATTAGAGACCCCAGCAGTAGAGCAACTCCAGCCCATAAGCCAGGAGTTTGATAAAGCTGAGCCTACAGATAAAAAACAAGTGACTCCGAAGTCTAAAACACCCAAAACTCCAAAGAAAAAGGCACCAAAACCAGAGACACCTGCAGCTAGTCTAAGCTCAACAACCAATGCTTCTGAAGGAATGGCTGACCTCCCAGATGGTTGGACAATGAAGGCAGTCCAGCGTATGACTGGGCAGTCAGCCGGCAAATATGATATCTACTACTACAGGTGAGGTTTTTGGAGTTACGTTGTTATTTGGTTATCAGATTTGTATGTGGTAACCTGCACTTTCTTAGATTTCTAAACTGGGAAGTGTCCTTTTTACCAGAAAGTATCTAGTCTATATGAGGGGAAAAAAGTTAGTTGTGTATCCTTAACAGGACATTGCAGAACCAACCCCAGCATTTTTTGGGGCGCTGATGTGGTTTTTTAGACAAATTTATGTTTAGTAGTTTTTCATTGCTTTTTGGACAATTGGCTTCTAGATACCACTGTTGAAACCAATGCAGGCCGCAAGACCAGCAGCAGGGATCCAACCTGGCACCTTGGCATTAGGAAGCTTGTTTACAACGCCTAAGCCACAGACGCCGACAAATGAGGGAAAGACATTTAAATTTATGGCGTTAGTCGAGGTTCCAATATCACTGCAGACAGGTTGCCCTTGAGGTTCCAATATCACTGCAGACAGGTCACCCTTGAGGTTCCAATATCACTGCAGACAGGTCACCCTTGAGGATCCAAATCACTATAGACAGGTTGCCCTTGAGGTTCCAATATCACTGCAGACAGGTTGCCATTGAGGTTCCAATATCACTGCAGACAGGTCACCCTCAAGGTTCCAATATCACTGCAGACAGGTCACCCTCAAGGTTCCAATATCACTGCAGACAGGTCACCCTCAAGGTTCCAATATCACTGCAGACAGGTCACCCTCGAGGTTCCAATATCACTGCAGACAGGTCACCCTCAAGGTTCCAATATCACTGCAGACAGGTCACCCTCAAGGTTCCAATATCACTGCAGACAGGTCACCCTCAAGGTTCCAATATCACTGCAGACAGGTCACCCTCAAGGTTCCAGTATCACCGCAGACAGGTTGCCCTTGAGGTTCCAGTATCACTGCAGACAGGTCGCCCTTGAGGTTCCAATATCACTGCAGACAGGTTGCCCTTGAGGTTCCAATATCACTGCAGACAGGTTTCCCTTGAGGTTCCAATATCACTGCAGACAGGTTGCCCTTGAGGTTCCAATATCACTGCAGACAGGTCGCCCTTGAGGATCCAAATCACTGCAGAAAGGTCACCCTTGAGGTTCCAATATCACTGCAGACAGGTCGCCCCATAACGTTTAATTCCTATGCCATTGGAAGCTGCACACACTGTCCCTCACTGTCACATTTGAAAACCTGTCAGAACCAGCAAAATCTTGAAGCTTGCACATGCAAAGTAAAAATGCAAACAGCAGCTGTAAGATAGTTAGTTGATCAAAAGATTATCCTCATTGCACATTGGACAAGTCCATAAATGCTTGGATCTGATCTTCAGTATATCCCGCTGAGTGTAGTGACTGATAACACCAGTTCTCTGTTGGTTTACTGTTTTGTTTTTTTTTTGCTACCTGTATGGTATTCATGTTTAATGACACCTCCTTTGTCCTGAAGTTCTTGTTGTCTTTTGAGTTGTCCTGATTGAATGACGTCTCTTGAATCATCTTCTTATCCTGTCTGCTTGAGAGCATTGAGAATGTCAGCCTGATCCATTGCTTTCCCTGTACCTTCCATGGCAAACCAATCCGCTCATTCATTCCCTCTTACCCCAGAGTGTCCCAGCGCAAAAATGAAACTGATTCTCTTCAGACAAGATATCATATCCTCAGCGACTCCAACCATTTTCTTCGAATCCATCTTCTTAAGAATGCTCATGAAATCACTTAGAAAGCACGGATGGGAAAATTGCTGTCTCTCTAGCCACATCATTACTTTTGTTACCACCTTCACCTCCATAATCAAGACTACTTGTAGTTGAGGCAAAAGCCCTGCTTTCTTCTTTTACAGTTTTCCCTTGAACCAGAACTGAATTTTATATGTGTCAAACAGCAAATTCCTCTGTGTAGATACTGCACCTCCATGGGCAGAATTTTCAAGAATTAAGACGTGATTTTCTGTCCCAGCCACCAACGGGCCTTGTTGTCTGCAATCTCTACCCAGTTTTATGCAGATTGAGAAGGATGTACCCAACTTTGTTGGCACTCGTATCCATTCCTCAGCAAGTTCTTTGTCCTCAATTCAACACATTTGTTGAATAATGTCCCCAGTCTGACCCACCCAAGATTTTCCACTGTTGAACCTGCTACCCTTCTTCCTGCGAATCTCACTGTACAATGGATGGTGTGTATCAGCACTGATACGTAGATACGCACGAGCTTTGACCTTTAACATATGATAAAAATGACCTTTGTTAAACAGCAATGAGTATGTCATTATGTTGTGAAAAATAACACTTGTCTGTCCTCAGCCCCGATAATAAAAAACTGCGCTCAAAGACAGATGTCTCACATTACATACAAGAAAAAAACTTAAACCTTGACCTGGATGTGTTTGAGTTTAGCGTCAGCAAGCTGATAGAGAAAGGCAGTTTTCACCGACAAGATGTCACTGTTGCCAGACAAAGGGGACAGCCAAAGCCTCAGGTTCCAGCTGGGAAGAAAGTACTACAGTTAAAAGGATCAAGTGGAGTCAAGAAAGCTAAGGAGAGTTTAGGGAACAAAAAGGCTTTGTTCAGGCATACAAAACTGTCAGTTACCGAAGGTGAAAGTGAGCTCAAGGTTACAAGTGCAGCATCCATTGCTAAGAAGAAAGCAGATGAGGTGGCAGACGGCAAGGAGCAACAGAGGCTGCAGAAGCTTGTCATTAAGATGCCATTTGGAAGTACTTTTGGAAAATCCTGGATGACAAAGAAAGAATCTAAACAGATCAGGTCCTATTTTGCTCCACCAGTGGGCGACGGTGAGCTTGCAGAGGATACAACATTGACGTCTGATGAGTCTTTTATTGAATCAGATAGGGAACCAGGAAGCCAAGGTGCGAAGATAGGCAGCAAAACTAAAATAAAACCCAGAACACAAACCCCAGAGTCTCCCAAAGGTTTGGCAGATGCCAGTGGGCAACCTAGTGAACAGACTTCTCGAAAACGAGGAAGACCTAGGAAATATCTGGTCAGTAGCGGTGCAGAGGTTAACTTTGAGAATGGTATGAGCACCAGCTACCAGGCAGAATCAGGGACACATGTAACACACAGTGGAGAGGTGGAGAAGGTGCAGGTTCAGTCTGTAGAAGATACACAGGCAGCAGCCATAAGCTCGCCTCCAGCTGATGCAGCTTCTCCAAATGACCAGAGGGATCTTCAGACAGGAATGGTCACTTCTTCCAGGGATGAAAGCATAACCACTTCACAAATAAGCCCCGAGTTAACAACATCAGGTACAAAACAGATAGGAACAACTCCTTCTAGGAAGAGAGGAAGACCCAAAAAGATTCCCATTGTCGTCGGTGATGAACAAGAGCATCCATTGAATACTACAGGGGATGTCAGTAGCAAGAACGTTTCCAGTTTTTTCGAGGAAAGTCCAGATAAAGTTATTACGTCTGCTGGACCAGTAGCAGATTCTGACTTGCCTGAAGCCAGCTCTGCTGTAGGATCTGATAATTATACGATCATCAAATCAGAAGACTCACAGTTGCTAACTTCTCAGCAGCCATTACCACATCTGCTACCCAAAAGAAAAAAAGGACGGCCTTCCAAGAAAAGTTTGAATGTTTCTGATTTGTCAGCAAATGGTTTGTTGACACCAGCTGGGTCGGGCACTCCAGACGCCAGTAGTGTTCCACCAGCCGCATCTGAGGAAGTCTTACAGAGCCCAGGAGAAGCTATACTGCAGATGACCCCATCATCAGCAGAAGCAAAGAAAAAGCGGGGTCGACCCCGAAAGTACAGCATTCTTAAATCTGAGAGTGAAAACCAGCTAATGCAGGATGAGTCCAACGTGGCTGCCGAAGCCACAGCCACAGAGAGCCTGTCTTATATTGAAGACAAGCAGAAGGTGGAGGAGGAGGACAGCAGTCCTGCCAAGCAACCAAGATTTGCTGGAATAAAAAGGAAGAGCCTGCCCTATGAGGACCATGAGAACTCATTGATGGAGTTTTTGTCAGTACAAAATGGACTTGACAACACCATTCCAGAGAGGATTACAGCAGAGTACATTCTTGGTAAGTCTTGTTCCCTTCCAGTTGTTGTGTCTGTGTTTGGTTCTTTGTCTTAGTTGCTACCACAGAGTTGTGAAAGGTGGTCATGAAATCTGCCTATAACATTAGAAAACTATGGACAGATGAATCTGTATTGAATGTAGAATAGCTCAAGCAAAGAATATTCTGTGCAGTCTATTTTTGTCAAATAAGATTTTAAGGTTGCATTTGGCCTTCGGTATTGGTGACTCTGGTAAAAATGATGAAGGTTTAGGCTCATAACTTTACCATAGAATGTTGAATTAAGAATTGGCATCCCAGCACTTGGGACACTCCCGTAAGTGCTCAGTCCCCATCTTCAGCAGCAAGTGAAGAGTTCCAGTAACTGACTGTACATCTGTCTCATCCTTCCCCTGAGTGCTGAGTATCGGCCAGATCCCCTGGTAACTCCTCGCAGCACCATTCTCCCTAGACTGTAATGATCTATCTGCGCCTCCACACTGTTTCCCCCTCTCCCAATGGGCCCTCACAATATCTTACTTGTCGTACATCAAATCACCCCCAAGTGGTGCAGAGCCAGCCATTCTATCTGCTTGCTCCTTTCCCGCCACACAAGCATGACCTGGAAATATATCCAAAGGATGCTAACTAACCGGAACCTTTGAAGTGTTGCTTGCCACTCTGCACGAAGCATTCCTGTTTTCACCTTTCTCACCATAGAGATTGTGATGATAGGAAGTTGGTGGCTACCATATTTGTTTATGTTGGTTACTGTTATTTTGGCAGGGCTGGAGCAGGTATTTAGAAACAGAGAGAGAGATAGGCAAACAAACATGGCAACACTATCGTGTGCTGAGAGAAGGGAAGATAGAGAGGGAGGGAGAGATGCAGAAATGGGAAGACTGTATTTGGCCAATCTTTATGCAGAAAATTGGCTCTTCAGTTCTTAGTAAACTAGTTTCAGAGTGTTTCCTTTGAGTTTGGAGTGTGCCACTCCAACCTCAAATGAAACACTCTGAAATTAGTTTACTTTTATGACTTGCAAGTTGTTTGGAGAAGGAAGGGGGGCGGTTAGTTAATTCTTTTTTCCTCACAGTGGAGTCTTGCAGCCCACACAAGGATACACAATCCAGAAACAAATGCATAAAATGAATGAGCACACAAGATTATCTCGAACAGAGACAGAATATGAGTATGTATGTGTGTATATGTGGGTGTGTGTCTCAGAGCGATGATATGTATGTGTGTTTATGTATACATGTAAGAGTGTGTTTCTATAAATTAGTGTGTATGTAGATGTTCATGTGTGTAATTGTGTAAGTGTGTGTATGAATGTATGAGTAGGTGTAGATATATAAGTGTGTTTGTGTATGCATGTATGTACATATGTATTTACCATCCATGCTTTTGAATTTGTACCCTACTGTGTATTTTGCTATATGAGCATAATATGCTTTGTAGAGTAATTACAATGGACGTATGAAAGATGGGCGACTGGAGGGGACAAATAAAGACGGGCTTGCATGCCCAATTTGCCACCCTTACAAAATAAAATTGTATTCGTTTGGGAGGGGAAAGGGGGAGAGGAGGCACGAGAGAGGGAGCAGTCATGACATAGTTATATGAAATACAGACATTCTGTTCTTCTTCTTCTTCCATGTCTGGCTGGCTTGCAGAAGGCAACACAACGAGCAAATATTTCAAGAAGTCTGACAACAAACTGCCTAGACCCAAGCTGAGACGAGATGAGAAGTGGATCCCTCCCAGGTCTCCCTTCTGCCTGGTGCAGGAGTCTCTGTTCCATGATCCTTGGAAGTTGTTAGTTGCAACTATCTTCCTGAACAAGACCACAGGTGGGTGCTGTCTAGTTGTGAAGTTGTTAGTTGCAACTCTCTTCCTGAACAAGACCACGGGTGGGTGCTGTCTAGTTGTGAAGTTGTTAGTTGCAACTCTCTTCCTGAACAAGACCACAGGTGGGTGCTGTCTAGTTGATAAGTTGTTATGTTGCAACTATCCACCTGAACAAGACCACAGGTGGGTGCTGTCTAGTTGTGAAGTTGTTAGTTGCAACTATCCTCCTGAACAAGACCACAGTTGGATGCTGTCTAGTTAAGTTGTTGTTAGGTTGCAACTATCTTCCTGAGCAAGACCACAGGTGGGAGCTGTCTAGTTGAGAAGTTGTTAGTTGCAACTATCTTCTTGAACAAGACCACAGGTGGGAGCTGTCTAGTTGAGAAGTTGTTAGTTGCAACTATCTTCCTGAACAAGACCACAGGTGTGTGCTGTCGAGTTGAGAAGTTGATAGGTTGCAATTATCTTCCAGAGCAAGACCACGGGTGGGTGCTGTCTAGTTGATAAGTTGTTATTTTGCAACTATCCACCTGAACAAGACCACAGGTGGATGCTGTCTAGTTGAGAAGTTGTTAGTTACAACTTCCTCCTAAACAAGACCTCAGGTGGGTGCTGTCTAGTTGAGAAGTTGTTAGTTGAAACTTCCTCCTGAACAAGACCTCAGGTGGGTGCTGTCTAGTTGAGAAGTTGTTAGTTGAAACTATCTTCCTGAACAAGACCACAGGTGGGTGCTGCCTGTATTCCATTTAAAAAGTTGTGACCAATTTTTAAAATCCAAAACTCAGTAACTGTTTGGTGTAAGTTGTTGAAATTTGGCAGCATGGTAATAATCATGCCCTTGAAAGAATTTTGTTTCATTGTAAATGTACATATAGTTTTTATTTTGCCATATATAAAAAAAAGACAGACACAGATTCAAGGCAAACCGTCAGCATGCGTACAGTAACGTGAGTAAATTGAGTTAGGGGAACTTTTCAAAACATCAAAATGCTCACATTTCATACTCATTTTACTCTCACGTGGTCATCTTCAGCATTAGTCTCCCGTGAGTTGCGGATTTGTCATTGTATGCGGAATAGGCTATCAGAATACTCACCAGGCATCACTGCAAATATGAAATGATTTCTGAACAGTCTCCACATGTGTAAATTACTGTATACTGTATTTTTAAGGTCCAGAAATTATTAGTCAAACAAAGATTAAAGAAATTCGCCACTTTAAAAAAAAAAAGCAGTACCTGTGTATAAATTATAGAATAATAAGGACATGGGAAATAGGACATGCACAAATTTGTAGTGTTCCCTAGGAGTTTTTAAGATCCCTAGGGGATACAATCATGGTAGCTAGGTTTAAATGTCAGTGAATCATATAACTTGCGATCATGGTATTCGGTGGGTTAATGAGACAGGTAAACAATGGCTAGCCAGCAGTATCGTGACTCATTTTTATTGATACAAGTTCTAACAATATGGTTGTGTTCCAAACAAAGGTCATATACCAGACAATATTTTTCACATCTTAACAGGACGTGTACTAAGTTGGACGATGTATATCATGGCACCACAGCAGGTTCTGTGCATGTATATTCTTTACGTCATTCTTAGGACGTAATTTTTTGTTATTTGAAGCCCCACTCTGGCTTTTGCCAGGGGCCGCAATATAGGCAGGCAATCAATATGGCCAATTGTCTGAACGCGGTTTCTGGGACCTCTCCACGGTGATCCTCATCCGCATGGTGGCACTTTGTGTCATCGGGTGTTTATCGCTTGTGTGATGTCCTGGTGGGGTAGAAAGTCAGTCAGTCAGTTCTGTGCAGAATGATGCTCTCGTCACGGCACTCCTGAAAGTCTCTCTTCCTCTAGTCAGTTCTCCACCTCTGTATGTTTTTCATAGCCAGTTGCATCTTCAGTGTTTTATATCCGTCTCAGAAGTCGGCCTCATTTTCTGAAAACTGTACCCTCTAGCACTGTTCTTTTCAGACCATCATGACATTTAACATGGCCAAAATACCTCAACTTTCGGATCAGAATGCTGTTTATGAGCCAATTCTCCTCACTGTTCGCTTCATGTACATAGAAGGTACAAGGCATTAAATTGTGCAATATATTGAAAGCTTCATTATTTACATTGCAGTGGGAAAATTTGTTTCAAAATAAACATTGTTATTTTTTTTTTCAGCAGGTCGCCAAGCCATTCCAACCCTGTGGAAGTTTTTTAATCGTTACCCGACGCCAGAGCTGGCCAGAGAAGCAGACGAGGAAACAGTTGCAAATATTCTATTTCCAATCGGCTTGAATTATACTAGAGCCAAAACTATCATCAGATTTTCAGGTTAGTTGGGACAGGTATCTAAAATGTGGCTTTCTGTTTGTTGGTAAAAGGAATTTGATGTATCACTTTTGTGTGTTAGTATACAATACCTTCTTCCTCTGCCTTCATCCGAAGATGTAAATGTTTTGAGCCTGTTTACAGCATGGTTGTGATTTTTGCGCCTTTCGGTCAACACATCTGACTTCTGCAAACATTTGTTGACCGGGTTATCTTCTTCTTCTTCTTCTTCTTCTTCTTCGCATTCACTAGCTGCAAAGTTCTGTTTGTTTGTTCACTTCTGGGCATGTCCTGTTCCAGAACTTGAGTGCTGCATATGCAGACTGTTGGTTCCTTGCCTCTCAGGCAGATGCACTTTGACTTTGAAGAAACTTCGCAGTTAGTCGACTCTTATGACATGCTTTTGGGTAGGCAGTGGATCTGTTCTTGTTTTCTCTATAACAGTGCTCCGTAACCCACATGGGGAGTTGACCGGGAATGTCTTCCTGGTTAGTTTTGTGGGACATTGCAGTCTTACTGTTGTGTAGTCATCTTTATTTCCAGCTGGTGCCCCACATGAGGCCAGTCCAGAGAAGCCATGAAATGCTGATCAGCCCTCAAGAGAAGGCAGGGGCAGAACATGAGCATTCCCTGTCATCCAAGGAGGCTTCCATAAATGCAGAGCCTATACATGGTGCTCTGGTACTGGGCTCACCCAAGGAATCGTCACGTCCTGTTCATGACTGTTTAACCCTACTTCCGTATATTGCACATCTCTTTCATCACAGTCTGTGTCTTTAGAAGCCTGCAGGCTTGGGATTTCAATTGCACTAAAGAAATCTGGCTTCCATATTAGCTACTTACACTGCATGATTTGCCTATTTGAATTTTATGCATTTGTGACTTTTAAAAGCAGTCATTCATTCACTTAGGCATTTGTTTTGACCTCCCCCTCCCTCTTTTTTTCCCCCTCTCCAGGATTAAAAGAGTAAATCCACTAAACTGTGACTAAGACATAACAAAGATCACCAGTGTATGTACACAGTAAAAATCTGACGTTTCGGCCGGAGTCTTTCTTTACACAAACTACAACAGCAGCAACAAGGGGCTGAGTACTACGGCCACCAGTCTCAAGTCTTCTATTATTATTGTTTTTAATATTACTATTTTTTTGCTTTCATTTATTTTATTTGTTCCACATCTACTTTTCCTCTTCCTGTATTTTATAGTTATTCACCTGACTTTTTCCTATCTGAGGAACTGGTGGCCACAGTACTCTGCCCCTTGTTGCTTTTGTGGTTTGTGTGAGAAAGACTAGCCGAAGTCTGATTTTTTTTTTTTTTTGGGTCTGTATATTGTTCCCTTTTCCACCTTCATTAAATTTCTTAGTCACAGTTCATTGGTTAAATTTCTTGAGACAGAAAGTAGTGGGCCATGAACACTGCCGTAAGGCGTGGACTGTCATCAGTCAACAGGTTCTTAAAAGAATGTCGCTGTTATTATGGCACATCTGAAGGTCTAGCCAATTCTTCAGCCCTATGTGCTTTCCTAACTAGTGCATTTTCAGTGTCTCGTATCCACCTTCATGGAGGTTGGCCTCTGCTGTCATAGGTTTAGACTACGGATCAACATCATGCTCCGTTCTACTTCAAACTCAGCCTGAGTCCGAAGAATCTCAGTGTAGTGCATGAACTGCGTAACACCGGCCAGGATCCTGGAATACTTTGGGTAGATTTTTAACTCAAATTTTGCCTGGTCAGCGTCATTAGGCTACTGTATTTGATTTCTAACCGGCAAGGGATTTTGTTTACTTGCGCAACAATACACATGGGCATCCCAGAGACCAGGGGAAATTACTAGAATTCCAGGTTTAAAAAAATCCTAGCCTTAACTAGGGGTTGAACCTGGGACCTTCAGCACTCAAGGCAGTCGCCTTGCCTCGAGACTACGCAGCCCCTTATCTGCTGTCACAGATCAGATTGTCAGATTGTGTGTATTTATATTTGTTGATTATGTCTGCCACAGCTCGAATTGTATTTTTATATCCATTGATTTTTGTCTGTACCAGATGAATTCCTGAGTAAAAAGTGGACATACCCCATAGAGTTGCATGGCATTGGTAAATATGGGAATGACTCATACCGAATATTTTGTGTCAATGAATGGAAGCAGGTAAGACATCTTTTGTTTCTTTTTCATACCTTTAAAAAAAAGTTTTGTTGACATTCTTTATAAGCCCCTTATGCATTGATACAGCAAGTGGCGCGATCTAACAAATACTGGAACGACCTCTGTAGTTCTTCTGTTGTTATGGCCCCTAAAGTTGGTGTACGGCCTTTTGAATGTCATCAATATCGTCAAAGAAGCGTCCTTTCAATGGCAACTTTAATTTTGGAATAAAAAAATAATCACAGGGAGACAAATCTGGGAAATAGGGTGCATGGTTAAGAATACACACTTGTTTTGGGGCAAAAAAATCTTGGGTACTCAACCCCCTGATGTTTTTGGTCATCAGACATTGAATGTGGTACAGACCGGCAAGCAACTTTTTTCTTGCCAAAATCTTGCACTAAAATGTTATGAATGGTCTTTCTATTAACACCAGATTCATCTGCCATCATCCTCCCAGTAAAACAATGATCTTCTTATATCCGTTCTCTGACTTTTGCAATGAGTGGATCATTACGAACAGAAATTTGACATCCAGGTCTAGGTGCATTAGTAATAATTTCCACACCACTTTTGAATCATGAAAACCACCTGAAAATTTGTGCACGAGATAAACAATTATCCCCATAAACTTGTTGCATCAATTCAGCTGTTTCTCTGAGTTTTAAAAAGAATTTAATGTAAGCTTTTAGCTCCATGCTGATTACGTAACAATGCACCTCTAACTAGGTCAACAAAATGGTGGCTTGTTTGTTGTCTGCCTATCAAGCGGCGATGAAAAGTTGCCAGATCATAGATTTTTTTCTTGGCCATAATAAAATAAGTCTCGTTACTTTATTGTCGAACCTTGTATAATCAGACTGTTACTGGTACCATCGGAACTGGAATTCTACGCTTGCTGGTGAAGGTGGGTATGGAGTGCTTATGGAAGTGTCCTAAGTTTTATGATGTAAATTCTTAATTAAACTTAAACTTTTATGTATATATTGTTTCCTGCCAGGTTGACCCAACGGACAACAAGCTGAACGATTACCACCAGTGGCTAGTGGCAAATGAAAGTAAACTTGAATTGAGCTAGTCAACTCATAAAAATCTGACATGTTGGCCAGGTGTTTTCCTTGATGACAAGCCAGACAGACGTGCCATTCTTCTGGAAGAGATCACTTTACTTATACGTGCATGTGTACACACATAAACATTTAAACAAAGAAGTTTTGTGCAGTCGGTCTAATGTACATTTACTCTTAACACCAAATTTTAGAATTGGTTGTAACATTAATTTTTACGACTTCTATAAGTGTATGTCTGGGAGTTTTAATACCTGAATGTTTTGGTTTTTAATTTTAAAATTTTGAAGGTGTGTCACAGTGTAATGAATGGAATATGAAAAGCTGAAACTGCATTTATAAAATGATCATTTCCCCCTGTGGGTTCTGGGACCCCACTGCCTCCCTAACAAGCATGTCGTGAGAGTCAACTAATTCCGGGGCTTCCTTCAAAGTCGGAGTGCATCTACTTGAGAGGCAAGGAACCCTTAGCCTGCATACAAAAAAGCCAGCTCTCTAAAATGTCTGCGCATGCAGAACTCAAGATCTGGAGTAAGACCCAAAGTCTACAAGTGCATGGACAATCAGAACTTTCTGCAGGAGTTTACAGCTGGTCAACTGAAGAAGAAAAGTTTACTCAGAATTCAACATTTCCCTCAGGAGTGTATAAACAAGTACCCTACAACACCAGACACAGCTGCAAGGTGAAGAACTGAGGCCGACACTCCTACCTCTGAAGAAAATGCCAGTGATAACTGGGCTGAGAAAGAGAGATGACTGGGCCGAGAAAGAGAGAGGACTGGGCAGAGAAAGAGAGATAACTGGGCCGAGAAAGAGAGATGACTGGGCCAAGAAAGAGAGATGACTGGGCAGAGAAAGAGAGATGACTGGGCAGAGAAAGAGAGATGACTGGGCAGAGAAAGAGAGATGACTGGGCAGAGAAAGAGAGATGACTGGGCAGAGAAAGAGAGATGACTGGGCAGAGAAAGAGAGATAACTGGGCCGAGAAAGAGAATTATTAAAAGCTACATAAATCCTATTGTGATGTACAGAATTGAATTATGGACAGTTTTGAAGCTGCGAGGATGTGTTTTCATAGACCTGTGATGAGAATACCTTGGACTGATACAAAGAGTAGTGAGGATGTCTTGAAAGAAACTGACTAATGAAGAGAACTGATTGCCCACATCAGAAAGAGACAATTGACATTCTTTGGTCATGTGATGAGAAGGAGAAAACTGGAGTACATTGTGACAGTAGGAAAATGGAGGGCGAGGAGAGGCAGAGGGAGATGGAGAGAAAAGATCCTGGACAGTTTGACATCATAGCATGGAGGATCGTCTGTGTCAGAGTTGATTAAAATACAAGAGACGGAAGGTTGTGGATAAACATGACTACCACCGCCACATGGCATGGACTTTAAGAAGAAGAAGACCTTGTCAAAAGTATTGAAAACAGTTTTTGGGTTTGGATAGATCAGAAATTGACTTGAGTGCGACAAAGTAGCTTGTGTAAAGCAGTCTTGTTTGTTTCTCTGCTACTTCGGTGTTGGTAAATATTGTGGTCTCTGTGATGGCTTCATTCTTGCATGTCCTGTTCCATGGTTGTGTGTGTTTGTCTGCCGGCATTTGTGTCATTAGAATTTATCTGTGTGTGGGTTTCTGTGCGTCAGAGTGTGGAAGAAAAAAGAGTAGACTCTCTGCCCTCTAACAAGCAAACCATAATAGTGAACTAATTAGAGATGCTTCCTTCAGAGTAAGTGTGCATCTGCCTGGAGGCAAAGAACCAGTAGTCTGCATACAAATAACCCAGATCTGTAAAACAGATGTGCACATGTACTTGGGTTCTGGAACCGGACTAAAATCCAGAGGTGGATGAACACGAGTTTAAAGCTGGTGAACACGAAGAAGAAGATTACAAATAAAGTCGTTATTGCTGGACATTCTGTGCAGACACCATTCCTCGCCCTCTGTGTGTGCATGCATGTGTATCTGTGTTTGTTTGTTCCCTGAGTTTGTGTCATTACAAATTAAAGTCGCCATCAAATTGCTTCTGTACATTCTGCATAGATACCATGTTTGTGTGTGTATGTTTCTTCCTGCGTTTGTATCATCGCAATAATTACTTGGCAGCCTGTACTGACACCAAGTGATCATTAGTTTCTTTATTTCTCCCTTTCATCCTTTCTGTTTTGTGTTTTTATAATCACTTGTTAGATCTCTAACAGCATGACCAAAGAGTGGCACAATTGTTTTAACATTGTCACATTACTTGTCACTGGAGTTACTGTCACCATTTTAATGGCAGAGTATGCCAGTTCTCGGAGTACTGGTGAATGTCAGATAACTTATTGCTGTTTTGAGTACATGTTACTGTCAGTATAGTTTGTTACTATCAGAGTGCTTGTCCCTATCTGAGTACTTGTTACTGCTGTTTATCCATCACAATTTATGAGGACCACTCTATCATCCATCATGAAACTATAGTTGAGTACTGAGAGTTGGGAGGTGACTTATAAGCCAAATACGGGCCCAGAAGGATCTAGGGCAGGGGACAGTGTCTGCAGGTAAAGGACCTGGTTTTCTTTCCAGGGTGCCTGAGCTGTACAGCTGCCCCTCTTTGAAATGAACTGAGTACTATCTGTACATTTATTACCACTAGAGTACTTGTTACTATCAGATGACTTGTTACTATCAGAGTACTTTGTCATTCTGTTTGTTACTGCCAGTGTACTTGTTACTATCAGAGTACTTTGTCATTGTGTTTGTTACTGTCAGTGTATTTGTTACTGTCAGAGTACTTTTTATTATCAGTGTATTTACCACCATAGTACTTTGTCACTATCAGTGTATTATTTACCACAAAGTACTTGTTACTATCAGAGTACTTGTTACTGCCACTGTATTTTTACCACCAGAGTACTTGTTACTACCAGAGTCCTGGTTACTATTTTAGTACATGTCACTGTAGTTTATTACTGTCAAGAGTACTTGTTACTGTGAGAGCATTATCATATAGTTGTTGCTAAATACATGTTACTATGAGTGTGCTCGTTACTGTTAGGATATTTGTTACTATCAGTATGGCTCCTTCTGCCTAAGTACTTGTTGCATCCACGTTAACTTTCCAAATTATTTTTATTTTTCATCCATGTTACTGTCTGTTTATATTGGTGTTATGCAGTTATAGTTTTTGAAATTCAGGGTGATTAGTGATAGGATTATCAACATAACACTCCGGACAGATCCATAAATGCTCCGATCTCCTCCTCAAAAGCTTCACAAGTGTAAAACGACTGATGACGCCTGTTCTGTGTTGGTTAATCACAGTTAAGACGTTTAGTCTTGTCCTCTTATTAAAATGTTCATTTCTTGCAGCTTCAGGCTGTACCCCCATGTCCATCAGTCTAGACAGGGATATGGAGGCATGTCCTTTGGCGTGCTGCTCGGTATGGTAAGTGCAGCAAATGGCATTGAAAACATCACTTCTATCAAGTCACAGACCAGTCATAGCAGGCTCAGTGTCAGCATTCTCCACACTCATTCCCCTGAACACTCGCATTACCTGGCACAAAGATGAAGGTTAGGGCAGATATTTGTGAATGCTTCAGGGTGTTAATTGTAATCAACAGTTGTAACCAAACAGCTGAACCTAAGCATTGCTGTTTGTTAACTACTCTTCCCATGTGGGTTCCAGAATCCATTTTGGGGGAATAAAGGAAAGACCAACTGCCCTCTACAAGCAAGTCGTAAAAAAACATTGAGGATTTGCTGAAATGGAATGTGTTGGACAAAGGCGTGGATATGACAGCCCAGCTGTAAACCACAAAACAATACACCAGCTACCCTTTGAAGGGCAAATGCGGAAGAAGAAGCTCTTCAGCGACCGAAGTTAATTACACTCATGTATTTTTCAAAGTCTCAGACATTGTCTGCTGCCTGGACCTGGTCATGTATGCAAGATCTGCTTCTGTACAGTTTGTTATAATTTTTATATTGATAAACTCTGATTGAATTGTCTGTTATTGTCATGTTGGGATCTTTCATACAGTGCATACTTTTAACTTTGCTTTTCAATGGTTATATTTGATAATATTCTACTAATTTTTATGTAAGGCAAACACTGTGAATGAATCATTATGGCAGATATGTTGTTCATTGACTCAGTTGTGAATAAACTTTGTCAAGACTTGATTGTTAGTCTTTTGTGGGTACAAGACTTGATTTTCTGTGTGTACGAGACGTGTGTGTGTGAAGGACTTGAATTAAGAGTTGTGTGTATGTATGAGACTTGACTGTTAGATTCCCTTGTGTGTACAAGACTTGATTGTTAAAGTCACCTCTGCGTACAAGACTTGACTGTTAGTATCTTGTATGTAGGAGACTTGACTGTTCACTTGTGTGTACAAAACTTAGTTGATGGAGTCGTGTGTGTAGGAGACCTGATTGTTAGTTACTTGTGTATGCAGGACTTGATTGTTTGAGTCACTTATGTGTGTGTGGGACTGATTGTTGGACTCGCTTTTGTGTGCGAAACTTGATCATTAGAGTCACTTATGTGTGCAGGACTTGATTGTAGAGTCACTTGTGTTTGCAGAACTTGATAGTAGAGTCACTGGTATGTGCAGGACTTGATCGTAGAGTCACTTAAGTGTGCAGGACTTGATCGTAGTCATTTGTTTGTGCAGGACATGATTGTAGAGTCACTTGTGTGTGCAGGACTTGATTGTAGAGTCACTTGTGTGTGCAGGACTTGATTGTAGAGTCACTTGTGTGTGCAGGACTTGGTTGTAGAGTCACTTGTGTTTGCAGAACTTGATAGTAGAGTCACTGGTATGTGCAGGACTTGATCGTAGTCATTTGTTTGTGCAGGACTTGATTATTAGAGACCCTTTTGTATGTGTGTGGACAATCTGAACAGTTTCACTACCCATGATGCATTGTGGTTCCATTCATCAAAGGCTTGCATGTATTACAAAAAAGCTGGTATAGAGACTGACTTCGTGTCTTGGTGCCAGAGTGAGTTTGTTATAGAGACATACCTCCTGTCTTGCTGCAAGAGTGAGTTTGTTGTAGAGACATACTTCCTGTCTTGCTGCAAGAGTGAGTTTGTTGTAGAGACAAACTTCCTGTCTTGCTGCAAGAGTGAGTTTCTTGTAGAGACATACTTCCTGTCTTGGTACCAAAGTCATGTTGGTATAGAGACAGTCTTGGCGCCAGAGTGAGTTTGTTGTAGAGACAAACTTCCTGTCTTGGTACCAAAGTCATGTTGGTATAGAGACAGAATTGGTGCCAGAGTGAGTTTATTGTAGAGACAAACTTCCTGTCTTGGTACCAAAGTCATGTTGGTATAGAGACAGAATTGGTGCCAGAGTGAGTTTGTTGTAGAGACAAACTTCCTGTCTTGGTACCAAAGTCATGTTAGTATAGAGACAGTCTTGGTGCCAGAGTGAGTTTGTTGTAGAGACAGACTTCCTGTCTTGGTACCAGAGTCATGTTGGTATAGAGACAGAATTGGTGCCAGAGTGAGTTTGGTGTAGAGACAGACTTCCTGTCTTGATGCTAAAGTGAATTTGGTGTAGACAGACTTCCTGTGTTGGTGCCAGAGTGAGTTTAGTGTAGACAGACTTCCTGTATTGGTACCAGAGTGAGTTTGGTGTAGACAGACTTCCTGTCTTGGTGAGTTTTGTGAGACAGACTTGGTGCTAGAGTGAGTTTGGTGTAGACATCTTCCTAAAGACCACATTTGCTGTGGTGATTTTTGTTCTGATGAGTTAAGATGAGATTCTTGATCTGTTCTGTCTCTACAAAAGGTATCTTGCGTCAGGTGTTATGACTGTTTCAGATAGTTGTACTAGCTCATTTGATTAAGAATGTTGCCATTCGCATAATTTGTTTTAATCAACCTAAGAAACGGCTAAGGAAAAAACATCTGAAAAAAAAAAAAAGACTAAAAAAAACAAAATGCCTATTGTTTTTTAATCCAACATACAACAGCCATAAAACAAAATGAAATCAATAATAAAGATGACATATTTCAAGCTTACATATTGATTTGGCATGTATGAAAAACAGGTAAAACTACTGTGATTTGGTTTTCAACCTGCAGAAATATATGGCTGTGCCAGCGCCAACTGCGTTATTATCAAGACCTTCCTTTGTGGGCTCTATCATCCCCTGCTTGCCCCCATGTGGGACGCAATTCTTTTGTTACTTTGAACCAACAGTCTCATCATCATCATGTGCCCTGCCAACTGGCGTGTGCTCATGCATCTACACAGATCACGATCCCTGGTTGCCTGGAACAGCTCTCTGGATGATATCCCTCCATGCCATCGTTTCAGCCCATCCAGCATCGTCTCTCTTGGTCTGCCTCTACCCCTTTTTTCCACTGATCTTTCCAGCTGTCACAATGTTCTCCTATGTCTCTCTTCTCATTATGTGGCAAAAGAACAGTGTTTGCCTCTTTCTTAATGTTGTATATAGAGATCTACTTTCATTAGCTTCTTTCAAGCAATCTTTGCTAGTTAATCTGGCCATCCAAGGTATTTGTAACATTCATCTCAGAAACCCCATCTCTGTTGCTTCCAAATTCTTCCTAATTAGTTCACTGACTTTCCAAGATTTGTACAAGTTCTATGTAACATTTTAGCACCCTCTTTCTGACATTAAATGAGAGTGATTTATTGCATAAGATATTTTTCATTTTCTGAAAAGGCAGCTTTCGCTCGACCTATTCTTTTAATCTTTGTCACCACATGTTCCATCTGATGATATGATTGTTCCCAGATATTTGAATTTATTGACCTGGTCAAGTCTGTTGCCTTCAGCTGAGATATCACAACTTAGAGTTATCTTATTCTTTGATACAACCATAACTTCCCTTTTCTCAATATTTAACAACAGTCTGCATACAAATAAACTAGATGTAAAAAAAAAAAGTTTACAGTCAGTCAGTCAACGTGAAGAAGAAGATAAGAGCAAGTTGAATGTGTCATCACCTGAAGCTGACTGACGTCTGAGTGCTTTGTTGCACTAAGCGACATCAGTTCGCTGTTGCCATGAACCCTCATGCACTTCATCTACCTCTGCCATCTGTATAGATAATCATATCAACTGGGTGGGAAAGAGTCATGAATCATTTGTTGAACTGATTCTGCAGCACCAGCTGGCAAGTCCCTGCCCTCACGACCTCAAGTCTTTGTCACAGGAAAAGTTCCCAACTACACAGCAAGTCTTACAAAACGTCACAGCAAATGTCAATTATAACACAACCACTGGTCATCACTGACCGCAGTGGGAAAAAAAAAGGACATGTACAACAATGTACCATTTGAATTTTTGATGAGTCAGCTGCTCAATCTCTGCCTATTCCTGATTGACTGGATCTCCTCAAGTGGAAGGTGGTGTTTACATGTGGTAGCTGAGTATTTGACCAATAACTTTACATCTCAATCTGCTGTAAGTTCACCCTCATCCTCAAAACTTTTCAACATATTCACCATAAGAACCCCAGTCGAGCAAATCATAAGGCCGAAAAGGAGCCTGTCCTATGATGACAATGTTTTGGTGTACCTACAGGGCAGAGACCGGAAGCAGACTGTTGACAGCTTTCAAACAGAACTTGATCGCATAAGCAGGTGATGTGATGAAAAAGGGAGGTGAGTGGTTGTCAATGTGATGGAGTCACAACATAGACAAGATTTTTGCTGACTAATCACATAACCATGTTAGAAACACGCTAGCAGCAACTGCAAGTCTCTGCTCACAGATCATGGACAGAATCCAAACAATGAAGCACCTTGGAGTGTGATTACAGTCTCGCTATTCAGGAGCATGTAGTCCAGGATGATTCAACCAAATCTGGCCCACAGAAACCTAGCAAGTGGCCCACGGATCATTGCCAGCTGCATTGTATTACTTATTGATTTTTCTACACTCAGTTTCAAATTTGGGCTCTTGAGCAAACCAAGTTGAACAGCTCTGATACAGACCATGTGATAATGAAAGCAAAGCAAAGGGAGGCTTAACAGCGATAAGGACAACAGCTTTGATAAGATATTAACAGCATCACCTTTACTCTCTCATACCAGGATCTGAACCAAATCCTGCTGAAATTACAGGTCGCTATCAAGCTACCGCGTCTCTGGTCACTTTCCACGAGTCACCATTTCCTCAACCAGTTTCGCCTACAAAAACAGGTCGGTATTGTGCATCCAGATATCCGCACAACTGCAACACAGTAAATGATGAACTACAAGAAAGCAACAAATCACAAACAACAAAGAACACAATATGCATGTGTATTCAGATAGTCAAAAAAAAATAGAAATAAATTGCTGCCTTATTTCAGTACTTTCTTGTAGGAAAAATTCAGTTCAATGATGCAAAATAACATGTCAGATTCTTCATTACTGCAGCATTAATTCCTATACCAACTATATAATTTATTATTATTACAGATGTTCATAATGATTCCATTAATTGCAACAGCAACTGTAATTACTGACAATTCCAGAAAAATCAAGAGACGAAAAAAGACGATGGCGCTGGATAGGACACGCTGAGAAAACATGTTTAATAATATACCTAGGGTGACCATAATATCTCGAGCTGAAAACGGGACATCCCGCTAATGGCTCAGCTGAAAACGGGACACCCCACTAATTTGTTCAGCAAAAACAAAACATTGCACTAATGAAAACGGAACATCCCAAGCAAATCACTTAAACTCCACTCGCCTTTTTTCTTGGTCATCGAGGTAAAAGGATTAATCAATGGCTGAACAACGGTTTTTAAAACCTGACCTTTTTCACTAAGAAATAAACAATATGCTCTTTAACTGCGATGAAAAAAAAAAGGCATGCTATACAGAAAATTCCCATTAACATATTTCAGACATAACAGGATTCTGAATGAGTGAATCAAGAACTGACATCAATGCACTCAGACCATTCCCTTACATGTGCTCTGTCCACGTTTTCAGTAGCCAACGAGGAGCTGACATGCCAATAGTTTTAAAATAATTAAAAAAAAGTAGCGAAAACTATGCAATCTAAAAAGGTCTACAGATATAACCTGACGTAGTGACAGATTTGATCCTGCTAACTACCTCTTCTATATCTCCAAAAGTACCCTTTATGAACATTTATCTCTAACGAGTATGAAATGTACGATCTACCGAATCAACTGTGACTTGGTATGACACTGATGATGAAGCAGAGACTACACACAATGAAACATTAACTATACAACTAGGTGAATCCAGAAATCGTCATTAAAGATCGTCAAATGGCAAGGTTTTGGCCAGGTTCAAGGCATCCTTCAACATGAAATCTCGGAGGGCCCACAAGGCATTGGTGACACTGCCGTGACAGCCAGCTCCTTGTGCCAGCCACTTTGTGGGCAGGTTGGACTCGGGTTGGCTTGGGGTGTTTTCTTGAGTTGCGTTGAGGGTTTTGTCCCAGTTGGAGATTGTATGGCACTCTGAGTTCAAACCTTCAATGTATCTGTAGATAAAATCGCATACAAAAATTAATATGTGTAGACAAGTTTTATATAATGAACAATTATTTATCGTGAACTCCAGCATGATATTTTAATGTTACCACAGCGGAGGTATGCTAGGGCAATTTCAGTCAAAAAGGAGGATAGGCATGTTCAGTGTTTTTAGTCATGGCAAACGTTTGCTTCTTTCAGATGTTGGCCATTGCATTTTCATCCATTTGTGGTCTTAATGAATATAGTTTTCTCGCCTAGCTACTGAGTTGAGTGTATGGCACGACACTGTGAGCTGTGATTTTCATTTACAATGTTTTTTACTGTGACGAACATGGTGTGAACTGTAGATTCAAAAAATGGTGTGAGTGCTCTGTTTCCACAGAAGTAGTGGTGCCTTTTGTGGTTAGGATTAATCACGTGTGCAACTACTGATTTGTCTGTAATTGCTACTTCTTTTAATGATGAACTGCATTTCTAACGTCGGACTGTTTGCGTTAGCACTTCTGATGGCTGCCTTATGCGCGTGTATGCTAGTGGATATGCTGGGACTGTGATAAAGATTCTGTGTGTTTTTCTTTAGCACAGGAGCGGAGCAAATACGGGGTGACCTGTTGGCTATGAAGCATGTTGCAGTACTCTCTTCTCCTGCAGATTTGGGTGGGGGGAAGGGGCTGCAAGGTCTCGAGGTATGGTGTCAACCTCAAGTACTAGAGGTTCCGGAGTAAGGGCTGGGATTTTTTCACGTGGACTTGGACTTCTAGTAATTCCCCGTGGTCTCTGGGTAGTGAACTCTGACGCCCATGTGTATTGTTGCTCACGTAAAAAAAGCCTTGGCAGTTGGAAATCGAAAAGAGTAGCCTAACGGCGCTGCCAAAGTATTTCAGGATCCTCGCCAGTGCTACAGAGCCTGTGCACTGTGCTGAGCTTCTTCGGACTCAGACTAGAGTTAGAAGAAGAAGGAGCACTTATGGGTTACTACCCATGTGCCATGATGTTGATTAGTTGTTTAAACTTCAAGCTGAGCTTTTAAAACAATACAAAGGAGAGTTTACAACTGAGAGACCTAGTTCACTACACTGGGTTCCAGAGCTCCACTGTGAGGGGGAAACAAGAACTGACCCACTGCCTCTCCAACCAGCATATAGTAAGGGTCAGTTTACTAGGGGCTTAGTTCAAAGTCGGAGTACATCTGCTTGAGAGGTAAAGAACCAACAACCTGCACACAAATAAGTCAGATCTATGAAACTGCCATTATTGCCTATAGTTACCACTCGTCTTGTAGTCGATCTGTGTAAATGGTTAATTTTTAAATTTTTTTAAAGGTATTTCCATGGGTTCATGACCCATTCATTTCACATTCACAGGGTGGAAAAGTTAACTTTAATAGAGGTTATTATAAGTTAATACTCATAGGGTTGTGTAGAATGAGTCTTTTTAGGACGATACAGTTAAAGTGATCAAAGAACTACATGACCCTCTCTCACAACACACACAAACCACAAATGCAAAACTCACCTAAGGTAGGTCTCTGAGTGCAACAGCCTCTGACTTCTGGGCGGAACCGAGACAAACATTGGCGAAGGAGGGCGCTGTTGTGGAGCTGTAGTCTGACCTGAGAACATCAGGAGAAGGACATTAGGACGAAGACACCAGCACAAGTTAGTGAATTTGGGTTGGTTGAGATAAAGCATCGAAACAATACAATTTTGAACAATCAACAGACATTAATGACATCACAAGGTTATTACAGCATACAGCTAACAACACTGCCCCACTGTGTCAAGCCTGTGACTCGTCATTGCCCCCACTGTGTCAAGCCTGTGACTCGTCATTGCCTCACTGTGTCAAGCCTGTGACTCGTCATTGCCTCACTGTGTCAAGCCTGTGACTCGTCATTGCCCCACTGTGTCAAGCCTGTGACTCGTCATTGCCCCACTGTGTCAAGCCTGTGACTCGTCATTGCCCCACTGTGTCAAGCCTGTGACTCGTCATTGCCCCACTGTGTCAAGCCTGTGACTCGTCATTGCCCCACTGTGTCAAGCCTGTGACTCGTCATTGCCCCACTGTGTCAAGCCTGTGACTCGTCATTGCCCCACTGTGTCAAGCCTGTGACTCATCATTGCCCCACTGTGTCAAGCCTGTGACTCGTCATTGCCCCACTGTGTCAAGCCTGTGACTCGTCATTGCCCCACTGTGTCAAGCCTGTGACTCGTCATTGCCTCACTGTGTCAAGCCTGTGACTCGTCATTGCCCCACTGTGTCAAGCCTGTGACTCGTCATTGCCCCACTGTGTCAAGCCTGTGACTCGTCATTGCCTCACTGTGTCAAGCCTGTGACTCGTCATTGCCCCACTGTGTCAAGCCTGTGACTCGTCATTGCCCCACTGTGTCAAGCCTGTGACTCGTCATTGCCCCACTGTGTCAAGCCTGTGACTCGTCATTGCCCCACTGTGTCAAGCCTGTGACTCGTCATTGCCTCACTGTGTCAAGCCTGTGACTCGTCATTGCCTCACTGTGTCAAGCCTGTGACTCGTCATTGCCTCCCCCTGTGTCAAGCCTGTGACTCGTCATTGCCTCACTGTGTCAAGCCTGTGACTCGTCATTGCCCCACTGTGTCAAGCCTGTGACTCGTCATTGCCCCACTGTGTCAAGCCTGTGACATGTCATTGCCTCACTGTGTCAAGCCTGTGACTCGTCATTGCCCCACTGTGTCAAGCCTGTGACTCGTCATTGCCCCACTGTGTCAAGCCTGTGACATGTCATTGCCTCACTGTGTCAAGCCTGTGACTCGTCATTGCCTCACTGTGTCAAGAATATGACTCATCATTGCCTCACTGTGTCAAGCCTGTGACATGTCATTGCCTCACTGTGTCAAGCCTGTGACTCGTCATTGCCTCACTGTGTCAAGCCTGTGACTCGTCATTGCCTCACTGTGTCAAGCCTGTGACTCGTCAATGCCTCACTGTGTCAAGCCTGTGACTCGTCAATGCCTCACTGTGTCAAGCCTATGACTCGTCATTGCCTCACTGTGTCAAGCCTGTGACTCGTCATTGCCTCACTGTGTCAAGCCTGTGACTCGTCAATGCCTCACTGTGTCAAGCCTGTGACTCGTCAATGCCTCACTGTGTCAAGCCTGTGACTCGTCAATGCCTCACTGTGTCAAGCCTATGACTCGTCATTGCCTTACTGTGTCAAGCCTATGACTCGTCATTGCCTCACTGTGTCAAGCCTGTGACTCGTCAATGCCTCACTGTGTCAAGCCTGTGACTCGTCATTGCCTCACTGTGTCAAGCCTATGACTCGTCATTGCCTCACTGTGTCAAGCCTATGACTCATCATTGCCTCACTGTGTCAAGCCTGTGACTCGTCAATGCCTCACTGTGTCAAGCCTGTGACTCGTCATTGCCTCACTGTGTCAAGCCTGTGACTCGTCATTGCCTCACTGTGTCAAGCCTATGACTCGTCATTGCCTCACTGTGTCAAGCCTGTGACTCGTCATTGCCCCATTCTGTCAAGCCTGTGACTCGTCATTGCCCCACTGTGTCTAGCCTATGACTCGTCATTGCCTCTCCCTGTGTCAAGCCTGTGACATGTCATTGCCCCCCTGTGTCTAGCCTGTGACTCGTCACTGCCTCACTGTGTCAAGCCTATGACTCGTCATTGCCTCACTGTGTCAAGCCTGTGACTCGTCATTGCCCCACTGTGTCAAGCCTGTGACTCGTCATTGCCCCACTGTGTCAAGCCTGTGACTCGTCACTGCCCCACTGTGTCAAGCCTGTGACTCGTCATTGCCCCACTGTGTCAAGCCTGTGACTCGTCATTGCCCCACTGTGTCAAGCCTGTGACTCGTCAATGCCCCACTGTGTCAAGCCTGTGACTCGTCATTGCCCCACTGTGTCAAGCCTGTGACTTGTCATTGCCTCACTGTGTCAAGCCTATGACTCGTCATTGCCTCACTGTGTCAAGCCTATGACTCGTCATTGCCTCACTGTGTCAAGCCTGTGACTCGTCATTGCCCCATTCTGTCAAGCCTGTGACTCGTCATTGCCCCACTGTGTCTAGCCTATGACTCGTCATTGCCTCTCCCTGTGTCAAGCCTGTGACATGTCATTGCCCCCTGTGTCTAGCCTGTGACTCGTCATTGCCTCCCCCTGTGTCAAGCCTGTGACTCGTCACTGCCCCACTGTGTCAAGCCTGTGACTCGTCATTGCCCCACTGTGTCAAGCCTGTGACTCGTCACTGCCCCACTGTGTCAAGCCTGTGACTCGTCATTGCCCCACTGTGTCAAGCCTGTGACTCGTCATTGCCCCACTGTGTCAAGCCTGTGACTCGTCACTGCCCCACTGTGTCAAGCCTGTGACTCGCCATTGCCCCACTGTGTCAAGCCTGTGACTCGTCAATGCCCCACTGTGTCAAGCCTGTGACTCGTCATTGCCCCACTGTGTCAAGCCTGTGACTCGTCACTGCCCCACTGTGTCAAGCCTGTGACTCGTCAATGCCCCACTGTGTCAAGCCTGTGACTCGTCATTGCCCCACTGTGTCAAGCCTGTGACTCGTCATTGCCCCACTGTGTCAAGCCTGTGACTCGTCATTGCCCCACTGTGTCAAGCCTGTGACTCGTCATTGCCCCACTGTGTCAAGCCTGTGACTCGTCATTGCCCCACTGTGTCAAGCCTGTGACTCGTCACTGCCCCACTGTGTCAAGCCTGTGACTCGTCATTGCCCCACTGTGTCAAGCCTGTGACTCATCATTGCCCCACTGTGTCAAGCCTGTGACTCATCATTGCCCCACTGTGTCAAGCCTGTGACTCGTCATTGCCCCACTGTGTCAAGCCTGTGACTCGTCACTGCATTCTAAAAGGAGATCAAACCAAATAAGAAGCAAATCTGGCCAGCTTCACATTATCACAATTATATAACAACAAATGAACAGAGTGGCTAGAAAGTCTTCATCAGCATATGTCATTGCATTCCATTTCAACACATTTTGCATTCTGTTTCTTCTATTTTGTTTTCCAAGATTTTAAACGTTGCCAGTCTGCCGTCCCAAGTCTTTCACTGTTCTTGCTCTGCCTTCCTTGCTGATGTGCCGAGTCTGTTTACAAGCTCACAAATCCTTATTTCTCAATTTGTCTGGTCCATATATCCTTACCTATCCAGTCTGTAAGATGATGCCAACAGTACTTGTATATTGTGTAAGGATGTTTTATTTTGATTCAACTGAAGATTCTTGTGTGGATTCTAGGGCCCAGTGTTTGGGAAAACGAGAACAGAGCCACTAACTCTAAGAAGCGTGTTGCAGGAGTCGACTAACTGGGTGGTTCATTCTAAGTCGGAGAATATCTGCCTAAGAGGCAAGGAACTAACAGTCTGCATACAAATAAGTCAGATCTGTAAAATGAATGTGCAAGCAACACTCAGTCCTGAAACAAGACTAAAGTCAAGAAGTAGACAAACAACCAGAGCTTTTAGTCACAGTGTGCAGCCTGTGAATGCAAAGAAGAAGAAGGAGAAGAAGAAAAAAAGGAGGAGAAGAAGTAGGAGAAGGAGAAAAAGAAAAAAAAAGGAGGAGGAGGAAAAGAAGAAGAAAAAGAGAAAGAAGAAGAAAAAGGAGGAGGAGAAGAAGAAAAAGGAGGAGGAGAAGAGGAAAAAGGAGGAGGAGAAGAAGAAGGAGGAGGAGAAGGGGGAGAAGAAAAAGAACTAAAGATGTATCAAACTTTAGAATGTTTATAATTCATCATCATTGTTCTGTTGTGCATTTATGTGTCACAAAAGGCTAAGTCTCTTCCTACATTCCGTTGTGTCCTTTTGATTACTGCATCTTTTCCCGCAGGTTTCTTTTACATAGTGGGGGAGCTGGCCCCATGCCCAACCCTCCTCCTTTCTTAAACGTGCTTTGGACCGGCAATGGTGGACATACTGTGTATAGCTAAATGTAATATGTACGAGCGACTGAGTGGTCCTGAGGCATGGTGGTGTCCACCTAGAGTGCTGGAGGTCCCGGGTTCAGGCTGGGATTTTTTCACCTGGACCTCTAGTAATTTCCCGTGGTCTCTGGATAGTAAGATCAGATGCCTGTGTGTGTTACTGCGCACACTGCCTAGGCAAAATTTGGAGTTGAAAATCTACTCATAGTATTTCAGGATCCTCATCGGTGCTATGGAGTTCGTGCATTGCGCTGAGATTCTTCGCACTCATTCTTGAGTTAGAAGCAGAACGGAGCACTTATGGGTTACCACCCATGTGCCATGATGTTGGCCCCTTGATTATACAGAAACAGAAATGTAGTACATTAAATGTACAGAATTTGCACTTTCATTCTAAACAATTTTCTCATTGTAGAAAATTTTAGAAGGGTTAAATACCATAAACCATTTGCTTTGATGCTATATTCCTTGTATATCAAGCATGAACCAGTATGATGAGCTTCCATTACATAAAACATCAGCTAAGAAGATTAACTGCAGAAACAAAAGCTAAAACTAGGACAACCAAAATATGTTTCGATCACTTGGATTTTTATAAAAACGGACCAAAACTAAAAATTTCTGTTATTCTAATTTCTTAGGAAAATGTTTCAGAGAATTATAAGGCTGCATCTAAAAAATCTTTT